TTTAAACCCCCCGAGTAATACGAGAAACAGGATTTTAAAAGTTTACGGACTCGGACGCCGGACGAAAAAAAGCGATCACAAAAGCTCCACCCTGTCACTTGTGACAGGGTGAGCTAAAAAAACAAATGGCAGTTTTTAAAACGAAAAATGTAAAATATGTGGGTTGCAAATTGTGCTGCCGAAAGTGTGAAGTTGATTTTTCAAAGTGTATTGAAAACATAAATTTTTGGCTTAGCTGCTGGGGTTGTAACAATACAGCAAAAAACCGTATTTTGCAAATTATTGCCATTTTTGCTGAAGCGCCTATTGCAATATATTGGCAATACGTATTGTCTTATATGTTTTTGATTGTAAAGATGGAGTTAACATTTTTATTATTATTATTTATATGTATATATTTTTAGTAGAAACTTAATAAAAAATGTAAGGAATAAAATAGAAGGAAGTGTCACAACAATTTGATAAAAAAAACTTTCGTGCGTTGTAACCTTTCACATCTGGGCCGCTTATGTAAATTATGCGGCCGCTTATTGACTTTTAAGTGTACTAGTTGTCGGTACTTTTATCTTACGTTGGCGCCAAACAAAATTTGCCAATTAAAGATTTTATGCGTGAAATTTTGCTACAAAATTAGAAAGGCAATTAATTTGAAAAATTATTGATTTTTATAAAATACCGTTTTCCAAAAATTCGTATACCGCGGTTTCGAAATTCATTTTTTTTCATATTGCAATATATCTGTATACCCGGTAAACCGGGTTACACCCTTTAGTAAGCTGCCGATGTCTTTTAAATAATAATGTTACCTATAACTTCTGTCCCAAAGAGCTTCGCTTTAACTTTGTTCTTTATTCATATTATTTTGGTTATTTGATAGATTTTCCAGTTCCTGTGGTTAGTTTTAGGGCCGAGTGGACCCGGATTAGTTTATTGGGTTGAAATTTATTGAGGACGAATAATTTTTGAAAACAATAACATTTTAATATTTTAACTCTGTCTTAACTAAACCTATCGTTATTCGTGGAATACAAACCTCTTCTATTTCCATGTACGGGCCTGCTCCCTCGGGAAACATTTCATCGGCAACTATTGCTGGTTTCATTTTAAATCTAATCTTCTCCGCGGACGCACGAAAGAATGCATTCAAATGACACTGATTAGACATTCGGAGTACCTTAAACGATTATGGAGTGACCTGAAATATTGCCCGCTTGACACAGTAGAGTCAAAGAACACTAAATCTTTTTATTTTCCATAATTATTTTTTTCTTTATTCGAATATTTCGGTGGCATTAAAAAGATTGGTTGAACATCTCTTATATTTACAACGTTCGCACACGATACATTATCATGCGCACGCGATAGGTATTGCGTGTGCACGGAAAATGTAGATTTCTAGTGGCTGTCGCTTGTTCAATTGTGTGCGTACAGTAGTGAATTGCCCCTGTACGTGTGTATGCCAAAGTAAATATGAGATGAGAATCACTAAAATAATATTATGAAAGTCTCCGATGAAATGATTAAAATCAAAGTGCTGCAAATATATAAAAATATGATAAACAAGATCAACAAGGAAAGCCTTTGACTATACATTGGAAAACCGCATTCAATTCTAGCATTGTCTTCAATTAAATTTAAATACAATTTGAAAAAACTATTCAGCCTGAAGACCGAGATTTACAAGAATTGATACCGCAGACACTTGCCACAAACATAGTCAAGCAAAGATAAATTCAATGAAAACCTGAAAGTCAGTCTGATTTTTTGAAATAATATTTGGCAATTTCTCTCAACATTTTACAAATATTTCGTCAGTGGCATAATTTAAACCTTCCTTTAAACAATAGTCATTTAAAAAATATCAGGCAAGTAGCAACGTCAAATTCTAATAAAGTTTCCTTTTAAAAGGAAAGGCTTGCACAGTTGTGCCTTCATCCCAAGTTCCCAACCCTATAAAATTGTTTTTTTTTTGTTTCAATTTATTATCACAATTTTTTTGAATTACGGTATTTGTATATCATAAAGGGTTTATTTAGTTGGGGTTTTTTTTTTTTTTTTTTTTTTTTTTTTTTGGAAAAACGAATATTTTTTGTCAAAAACGATTTGAAATCTATTCTCTATTGTATAAAACTAATAAAGAAAATGAATCAATCGTAAATCGTGGAGATTTATCTATCATACTGAAGGGAATTGGCCGTAGACAGACAGTAGTTGTGGATAGTGACTGCTCATCTGAAGTCCCAGTTACCTCTGGAGTGCCCCAAGGCTCTGTCCTAGGGCCCCTTTGTTTCCTTCTATATATCAACAAGCTACCATCTTCTGTCCTTAAATCCCAAGTCAGATTATTTGCAGACGACACTGCTGTATACTTAACCATCAACTCCTCCTCAGACCCCCCAACTCTCCAACATGATCTAGACAATATGGTTCTGTGGGAGAAGCAGTGGGACATGGAGTTTAACCCTTCAAAATGCCAAGTCATCCATATCACCAAAAATAAAACCATAATTAAACACAAATATATGCTCCATGGCCAAGTCCTAGAGTCTGTTACAAATGCTAAATATCTCGGACTAGATCTATCTGCTGACCTTAAATTTAATACACATATATCTCGAATAACTTCCAATGCAAACAGATCCCTTGGCTTTATTAAAAGAAATATTGTCATTACTAAAAATGAGAAAGTGAAAGAACTAGCATACAAGTCCCTGGTGCGCCCACAGGTTGAATATGCCTCAACTATTTGGTCTCCTTACACTAAAACCAATATTGACAAAGTTGAGATGATCCAGAGACGCGCAATTAGATGGGTTAAAAGGAATTACTCCCCTCACTCTAGTGTCACAGCCATGCAGGAAGAACTGGGCTGGCGATCCCTTGAACATCGCAGATTGGACTGTAGACTGATAATGTTTTATAAGATATACCATAACCTAGTTGCAATAAATCTCCCAACTTATGTTCAAACCCCACATAGATTAACCAGACATATGCATCCCTTATCCCTACGCCAAATACAGGTATCCTCTGACTACCATAAGTACTCTTTCTTCCCTCATAGCATTATACTATGGAATAAACTTCCTAGTAACATTGCCACCCTGCCCAACCTGAGTCAAACAGGCAGTGGTGGGTTTGCAGTACTAGTCTTACTAGTACTACTCCCAGTGTTTTTTAAACTATTTTATCTCTTATCATCTTGTTTCACTATTAACATTTAACCATGACTAGAATACATTTTCAGTCTCACCTTCCAAGCATGTCAATGTTTGGACTTTTCTTTTTTAGCTTTTCTTTTCACCTTTTACTAACAATCCGACGTGCACTAAATTCCTGCCTTTAACACTCGTAAGAGGGGTTGGCAGTATCCAGAGATAGATAGATAGGAAACAAGTGTGCACATTTCATTTCCCCTTTTTCGCAGAGAAATTCGTTTGCTTTATAGACAAGTAAATGCACTAAAATACTTCGTTACGTGGTACCAATTAATAAGCATGTATCAACTATGTTACACGATCACAAATACGATGCGCTATCTGTAGATCAGCACGTCTCAAGGTTAATGATATTCATGGGCTATTTTTAGATTACCTCACCAAGAAGTTGAATTGCGTTCAGTAGATCTAAATATAACTCGATCATGCGTGATTTGGTAAGCAGGACCACCCTTTGAAGACGGAATACTACTACATAAAGTCACCATTCTCTATTGTATAAAACTAATACAGACAAAAAATCAATTATAAAAGAAACTAACTTTTGCGTCTTGAAAAACAATTGAAACGCGAACAATTTCGTTTATAATTTTATTACGGTTTAAACCGATAAATCGAGTAAAAATAGAAATCCTATTTATATAACAAACTGGGATTACCGAAGTAACTAAAATAGCTTAGATTTCCGTAATATTACTTCGTCTGATTCCGCAGTATGACGGAATCGCCCGAATTGTCACGATTGCAATCGGAACTACATCGGCTATTATCATTAATCCGAAAAGTGACGGAAAAGGCCGAAAAGTTGCGATTGGCACGATTGCAGCTGGTTTCCCGTTCAATCATGTACCAACAGATGTAAGCAGGAAACCACCTAACCGGAACAAGTTTTCCAAATGAAATGGCTTGCAGCCGTGGCTGCAAGCCAAAATAAAGTTTCCTTTTAAAAGGAAAGGCTTGCACAGTTGTGCCTTCATCCCAACATATTTAATTGTTTTTATTTTTGTAAAAACGAATATTTTTGTCAAAACGATTTGAAATCTATTCTCTATTGAATAAAACTAATAAAGAAAATAATCAATCGTAAAATTACTAACGTGGAGATCTATCTATCATACTGAAAGGAAACAAGTGTGCAAATTTCATTTCCACTTCGTTACGTGGTACCAATTAATAAGCATGTTCACAGATACGATGCGCTATCTATAGATCATCACGTGGTAAGGTTAATGATATGCATGGACTATTTTTAGATTACCTCACCAAGTTCAGTAGATCTCATGCACTAATATTTCTGTGTGATTTTGACCACCCTTTGAAGACGGAATACTAACTACAGTCAACATCCTCTATTGTATAAAACTAATACAGACAAAAAAAACAATTATAAAAGAAACTAACTTTTGCGTCTTGAAAAAGAATTGAAACGGAACAATTTCGTTTATAATTTATTACGGTTTAAATCAATAAATCAAGTAAAAATACGAATCCTATTTATATAAACAAACTGGGATTACCGAAGTAACTAAAATAGCTTAGATTTCCGTAACATTACTTCGTCTGATTCCGCAGCATTCGGAACTGCCTCGGCTATTATCTATAATATTATATATACTATTTTGTGATCATGATTTCTGCAAGCGTCTAGAAACTTTATCTTGATTTACTTCATTGGAGGTTTTACTGTACTTAAATTGTTAATGTTCAAAAGCTGTAAAATTACATAAAAAGCTACTATGGCGTTCCATAGAAAGGCGAAATAATTATAATATAATGTAGTGTGAAGACAGTATATTTTTTTGTAAAGAAAAAAAATATTTCAATTAACTTTACTTCGCTTAATATGCTAGACCATTGTAAGATGTATGTGCGAGGATTGACAAGGTTAAGCGTTCTTATTCAAATTTTTGAGATTTCAATTATCGCATTATTTATCTAAGGTGCTCATATTTTCAGGTAAATTAATTTTAAATTGTTATGATATTGCGAAAATATGATATGGGACGAGCTTGATATTATGGATATTTTGTTTGGCGAATTTTGAAATTTTGAATTATAATAAAATCACGGGAAAAAACGTGTGTTACTTTTAAAAGTATCGGAGTAAAGAATACGTAAAATAAACATTGTTGTAATGCGATAACAAATGAAGATGTGGATAGAACTGCACATTTTGGATATATTTGAACTTAAATGGTATGTTTAATTTCATATGTTCTTTAATTAAAACAAAAATATCATTTTTGAGAAATCATTTTTCTTTTTTCCTATTTTTATAAATAATAATTCAATATATTTCAAAACGGAAACTGTGTGAGCAAAATAGTTTTTTTAAAAAGAATATTTACACTGCGATATGAACTATAGAAAAACTAAAAATAAAAGTTAAATAAATAGCATAAATAAATATAAATTTAAGCATTCCGGTGTATTTGGTGTATACATTATTTGCACAGATAAATGTTATGTAATTATCTATTATCTTTAATAAATTAATTAATTAATTTATTAATTGTACGGTACTATATTCATGGAATAATTCCCATATTTCCCGGTATTAGTTGCTCCGTTTGTATGGTATATTTATGGAATAATTCCCAGATTTTCCCGTATTAATTGCTCCGTATGTATGGTATATTTATGGAATAATTCCCATATTTTCCCGTATTAATTGCTCCGTATGTATGGTATATCTATGGAATAATTCCCATATTTTCCCGTATTAATTGCTCCGTATGTATGGTATATTTTATTTTAATTAATTAATTAATTAATTAATCAATTAATTTATTTATTTATTTATTTATTTATTTATTTATTTATTCGTCTTTTTAATCTCTTCGGTACCAGATGAGCAGCAACTGTATTTCATTATCACCCACAGGGATTGAGCCTTACTGAATCGCAACTTTTCGGTTCTTTCTGTTAATCTTTGGATAAGAACGGGGTTATGAATAGGTGTTCAGATGGCACCAACATTTGTTTTACCTTACCCCCAGGCATAATGTATCAAATGTCCTAAGTTAACTGTACGTTTACTATCATTACCGATGTTGTTTCTCGACTTTAATCATATATATTGCCCCGTGTCTCTCCAATGTTTCTCGGTATATTTACCATATTGCCTAGTATCTTAAAAAGTTTTCCCGTATCTTTCGCACATTGGTCCATACCTTTTCATACTGCTCCGTGTCTTTTCATTAAATATACATATCTTTCCATATTGTTTCCTACCTTAGCCACATTGGTCCGCATTCTTCCCATATTACTCCGTATTGCCTCATATTGCTCCGTGCCTTTGCATATATTGCTTCATATCTTACCCACGTACATTGGTCCTCATCCTTCCCATATATTGCTCCGTACTTCCTCATATTGCTCCGTACCTTTATATTGCTTCATACCTTACCCACATTGGTCCGCATCCTTCCCATATATTGCTCTGTACTTCCTCACATCGCCCCGTATCTTTCCATACTTTACTTTGTATTGCTTTATATCACAACACGACCTGTTTCCGCATCTTACTCATGTGTATTTGGTATCTTTCACTAAGTACTTTATATTTTTTCGAAATCTTTTAGACGGCATTCTTTACTTCAAATATTCCGTATCTTTCCCACTTTTACTGCATATCAATTGTTCCGTATCCTTCACATATTGTTCTGTATATCCTTTTCATACGAATTGCTCCGTATCCTTCTAATTGTTCCTTCACATTGTTCCGTATTTCCCCTATATTTTCCCGTATTAATTGCTCCGTATGTATGGTATATTTTATGGAATAATTCCAATATTTTCCCGTATAAATTGCTCCGTATGTATGGTATGTTTTATGGAATAATTCCCATATTTTCCCATATTAATGCTCAGTATGTATGGTATATTTTATGAAATTATTCCCATATTTTCCCGTATTAATTGCTCCGTATGAATGGTATATTTTATGGAATAATTCCAATATCTTTCCGTAGTAAATGCTCCGTATGTATGGTATATTTTATGGAATAATTCCCATATATATTTTCCCGTATCAATTGCTCCGTATGTATGGTATATTTTATGGAATAATTCCCATATTTTCCCGCATTAATTGTTCCGTATACTTCACACTTTTTCGTATATTTCACATGTATTGCTACATATTTTATTGTATTTTCAACTGTCTTTCTTCAAACATTTTTCTATTGTATACGTACATTTTATATATAACTGTTAAAGTTTTAGGTAAAATATATATATGTACCATGAATAATGATGGATAAATTACAAAATTTGAACATTATTCAAACTATTTCAAACCGGATTTAATCTCTTGGCACTGTCTTAATGATTTATTTATTTTTAGGATACATTTTAATAGATATGCTCCTCAACAAACATTTAAGGGGTTTATTTTTCAGATTCGAAGTATGACAAACACACACATTATTTCGGTCTGGGTTTTGTTCTTCTATAAAGGTAACGTATAAAGATTTTTTATTCAATTTCTTTTCCGTTTCTTATTCTCAAGATTCAATTAATGTATTTTTGTCATACAGAAGATTATATGATTCCATTTTAATCCACTTTATTATCTATATAATGTCTATCATGTCGCAGACAAAACGGAAAAATAAAGAAAAAGAGAGTAAAACGACTAAATATATATCGCTCTATGACATTGTCGCCTCTTCAAATGCCTCCAATAGAAATAACGAAATGGCATTAATCAGCCACCATAGTAGATAAAGAAACATGTTCTTGCTAATTCAAAACTGGGGCAAAAATACATTTTTTTGTATTTTTGTCCCAGTTCAAAATTATATTTTTTGTACTTTCACCTCATATTTATCTATTGTCGCTTAATTTGGCAATCAATTCCCATCCTTTTTACCACTAAGATTTTTTTCTAAAGAAATTTGGTGAATTATTTCAGTTTATAGTGAGACATGTAACGATGATCCGAACTTTACACGAGACGGAAAGTCATGTGACAATCTGGTCCAATCGTCTACGAGAAAAGAATGTTACGAACCGGAAGTAGAATCTGCTTGCTGTCATTCTTGCACACAAGTTCGTTTAGATGCTCCAGGTAATGTTTGTTGAAATAAATCATGGGGAAAAAACGGGAAAAGCTCCTGAATTGATTTGAATGATTGAGTTGTTACATAAAATTTGTTTCCTTCTGATATACATGATGGAAATGTGTTGGACTTTAATTGACGAGACAAAAGACTCCTTTCGACTATAGTAAGTCAAAGTTTGACCTCAGCGAAGTTCAAGTATAAAGATAAAGAAGGAAATTTGAAGGGATTTTAGAAACAACTGTACCTATCACTGTTTACCACCTTAAAGGCCCATTATGCCCCAGAAACTTTCCTATCAATTTTATTGCTCAAAACCATTTTATTTTTTGGTGATTCGAGTAATATTTCTTTAATATCTTTTGCATATTTCTCCGTTGTTTAGTACCCTAGTTTATCTCTGTAAAAAAATCCAATTTTATGCTTGACCTCAGTGAAGCCCTTTTAAATACTGGTATCTGAATAATTAATCTGATCGTTTTTTATTCTCTTTATATACCACACGTGCACTTCAACACTGTGGGAAATTGCGTTTTGGGGTCATTTTAAAAAAGATGTGGAGCCTTATAATTAAATCTATTCTCAAGCCTAGTCCTATTCTGATCACGTACACTTTACTTCCTATTACGTAATACAATACTGGACTTTTTGGAGGGGTGGTGCTTTTTTGTCACACTGTCAACACAATGCATATCCATTTAATTTCTGACTGTTTCGAGATTTCATGTAAGAGCATGTTTTCATTACTTTTTCATTATTTATTTATTTATTTATTTATTTATTTACCTATCTATTTTTTCAAAAACAAACTTTCACTTCCAGGTTGTTTATATGGAGATCGTGAGGTGTGTATAAAGTTTTTGTGTGACCAATATACAGATGCCGAGGTCACGTGCTGTGAGACATGCGGAACTTTACCTTTGACATCTACAGTATCTTTTTTATTTCATAACTGACCAATAACTGTATTGTGTAGATAAAGAATTCAACATTAATTTTAATAAGCTTTCATATAATACATTCACTTTTGTTTTACCGTAAAAGGTTCGTTAATATAATCATTTCACCAATAATTATGTAATCATCACATTAACGGGAACGGTGATTTAGTGGTCAAGGTTTCTACTTCTTAGACCAGGGATCATGGTTTCAAGCCCTATTTGAATCACGATAATGTTTCTTCATATGTCGCCGTTACTGCTACGTTAAACATGTATTTTCCTACATGGGCGTATGTTTATACACATGAATATCTGTCCTTAAACTGTTTAATTCAGACTGATCAACCTGTAACATCAGTTTCTACAACGTCTACAAATTCATCAACCCTTTCCACGACGTCAGTGACTTCTTCAACGTTTAAAATTACAAGTGAGCTTTTAAGGAGTTCAACACAGCTAGAAATCATATTATCTAACGGCTTAACAACCGAGCCAAACATAACAACAACTAGTGCTAAATTAACTTCTGACAATACGCCAACCAGTGACATAACAGCTAGTGTTTTGCCGGACAATGTTGCAACAACTTCCGCTACAATTGCACAAGAAACTACAAACGCTGCTTCAACTTCCGGTGTAACAAATATTACAAAAACTTCTGAAACAACGACAAGCAGTAAAATAACATCCCAACCATCGGAACTTACCACCCCTCCCAACACAACCATTGCCGTGACAACGTCTACCATATCGTCTACTCCTTTAACAAGTAAAATGACAACAGCAGCAACAACAACAACAACAACAACAGAACCTTCTGTAGGGACAACTACTAGTGTAACTGCATCCACGTCAACCACCACAACACGTGCAACAAGTGAGAAACCTACAAGCGGAAAATCCACAGAAACAATAACTAACACTGTCAGTCTAGAGACAACGCCTTTAACAACGCCTTTAACGACAAAGTCATCTACCACAACAGAAACAACAACAAAAAGTAGAAGTACAACTACAGTAACAAAAGATATTGAAACAACAGACTCGCAGCCATCTTCATCCGTACAAACATCTGTTGTTGGTGGAGATCAGTCTAGTACAGCAATAGCGTCAACAATTGCAACTGATACTTCATCAACTTCCGTTGTGACTGTACCAACTTCCGTTGTGGTGACTGAACCAACTTCCACATCTGCAATAGAAACCACTACCTCATCCCCTACAACTACCTCAATGTCTACTTCCCCTACAACAGTATTCGTTACGACCAATGTCGTCCCAGTTTCTTCCGTATCCGGTTCCACTATATCTACTTCCGGTTTTACAGATTCAACTTCTATATCGACAACAACAAAACTTACTACAACTTCTACTAGTCCTATTACAACTGAAACTATAACAACCAAAACATCCACGACAAGCCCTGATACAACAGTTTTAACGTCTGCAGACATGCCTCTAACAAGTTCAACAACTGCAGCCAAAACTTTGAAAACTGTGTCTACTTTAGCTTCAACTACATCCAGTTCAACTTCTACATTTTCAACTAAAATTATGTCTCCAACAAGCACTGCAAATCCAGTTACAACAACTTTATCATCTTCAAGTGCACTTTCTTCAATGGCAACAAAGCAAAACACTAAAACACCCCGTATAACAGTTACAACACCAACACCGGATGTTGCAACTAATTCTACAACTACTACAGCTTTTCCAGAAAACGGAAGTGGTGAAACACGTAAGACCTAGTTGTGAAATCATATTTAGAAATAAGCAAAAATTTTAAATAGATCGAATTTGTTAAAAGTAAACTATGTCCGAAAAAAAACTGAATTACATGCCATGAATAACAAACAAAATACTGCAATTCATTAATTGCTATTCTTTTTCAATCTAATTTCAGGCATATATGTACATTGTGTACATGTTTATTTTTTTAGTTTTTGTTGGGTTGACCGCAGAACTGGAGTAAACTTATATGAAATAAAGAAGGACTAAAACAGTTTTACTGTCAACTCTCGTACCTTTGGTTCCTTTATTTTCAGATTTGTCACTTATTATATCATCAACAATGTCTAGTCTTATATTTGCATTGGTGTTGCTTACTTTATGTGCCTGGTTGATGTCGAATTCGAGGAAGAAACGTCGAGGATTCCGACGTCGTCGGCGACGACCACCGGATATTGAGGTATATCTTTGAATCGATGAGATCATATTCAAATACATATGACTTTATTGAATGTACAATAAAAAACTGTTTTTTACCTACATCAAATACAATTGACTACTTTATATAAATACATACTGATACATATTTTATTCGTTCTTCACTTTTTAGAGTCAAATGACTACAATGGCAGCACAGTAGGGTACATGAGGATTTTTTTTTTATTTTGTGCAAAGACATACATGTATGATAAGATTAGTCCACTAATTAATTATTAAAGTGATAATCTGTAGTTTAACGGTCAACTTATTGTTTAAATCTTTCGAAATTTGTATATGAACTGAATCTTCCGTTACAAGTATATAGGCTACTGGTAAAACAAAAAAAAATCATTCTGTTTGTATTTTAGTCACTGCCGGAAGCTCTCCCGTCGTCCTCCGTCTTGCCTCGTGTCAGAGTTCCGGAAGCTGCGTCAGAAAGGTCGTCTGCTATTGAACCGTGCATTAATCTACGAACAATGAATCCAAATTCTCCGTATTGGTTTGACGATACATCGAGACAGATTTTTAAGGAAGAAATTCTTCCATTTAGAGCCAATGACTGGAACAGGCCTTACTTTTCAACAATTGGATTACGGGCGGCATATGGTCGGGCACATGACTGTTATCACTCCGCGTTAGGACTCACATCACACAGAGTATGGGTCAAATAATTTAAAGAATACTACCTTAAAAGAAGCCATTTGGTCCCATGTTCACAAAGAATGAAGAATGAGAATCAGGGTCAGAATTCACATATAAAATTTTAACTGTTTCAAATGTTGATGATAACGATATGCGTTTTAAATAACATATTCATGTACAATTGATAGATATTTAGTAGACTTGGAGTAATAAGAGGCATCAAAAACAGGGATATAATTGACAAGTTATATATATACCTAGTGATATTTAATGAAAAAAATATTGTTAAGTTTTAAGAAAATATACTTTGAAGATAAAATTGTGATCCTTATCATGTTACTTTTGTTTTTGTTTCTTTTTAATATATAGATAGTGACGCCATTCATATTGATAGTCCCATAAAATTTATTCTAGAATAAGATGTTTGGACACTGTCCCGTTAAATGTTGCGATATGTATCAAATTGTTTGTGTAAGCAAACATATAGCAGTAAAAGCAAAAAAATCTCGATATTTTCTTTCACAATGGACTTAGATGTTCCATTTGTAATTATTGTTACAAAGTCATACCACTTAAGGGTAACTTAATGTTAAGAATTCGGAACATCTTCAATAACTTTGCATTGTTTAATGGTAAAATGAGTTATATTCACCATGTTATATTAATGGAAATATTGTATCTTGCTTCAGCAATTCATTTCAAAGAATCCATTATGATGTTTTAAAGCTGCACATCATCAGACGAGTAAATAAGTCTACAATGACAGGTCAATAATAATGTTGATAGTTGATGAAGGGACTATATATGAATGTTGCTGACAGTGGGAGATGCATGTTCCAACATTACATATATGTATTTATTATATACTTATAAATGAAATATTGAGAAATATTGATGAAATAAAATACGTATCTTATTTTCCGTATTTTCACTGTAAAAATTTATTTTTCACTACAGTGAAACATATTTTCCGTATTTTCACTGGTGTCTTGCTGGATTACTTTCTTTTAAATTCAGCTAATACACAAAATTATAACGTAATACTTTCTATTCATAAGGTAAAAAAAAGAGTAAGTATATAATAAACAAAAAAATCAAGTTTTTTCCTTTAAGGAATATTTATTATAAACTTTTTGACAATCTCTTAGACGCATATTGTATATTTTGCGCACGGTGTTACTCTTTCTGTATTTTGTCATCCCATTACTAATTGAGTTAAGGCAATTTTGTTTCATAGTTTGACAGGTTTAAGGTAACTTTTATCTGTTTTAAAAACTAAGTACATGTATCTTATTTGTTTATTTTTGACAATGTTGTTACAGTGCAGAACTTCATAAAAAAATAACAAAGTCTGGATGCGTGCGTCTTTAATTCAAATACGCAGTAAGAAAACAAGAAACAAAAACCTAATACATTATTATTTGAGGGTGAAAACCTTGTGATATTAACAAAACAGTAGTATGATTTTACCGTATAAAATTCTCACATGATGTTTTTATCATTCAATTTATAATGACAATACTGGGCGATATTTGATACTTGGCTCCTTGTACTTCTATAAGTGTCAAAAGTAAATTGTATATTTTTTGTTGTAAATTATCTGATAAACATTGCCCTCCATTGTATATTTAATAGTGGGTTTTGCACGAGTTAAATACCAAAGTGAAACGCCCTTTTGTTACAGGATATTGAGAAAATAAGAAACTGTTTGACATTTTAATTGCAATTTTGAACACGTGTGTAATTGAAGGTAAAAAATGATATAAAGTAAAAAAATCACACCACAGACTGAAACGGATTGTCAAACTTGTTGGTGGCTGTGAACGCGTTTCTTTTTTTTTCTCTTCTAATTATAAAGTACAATAAATCTGTCCGTGTAAATAAATTATGATTGCGTAACTATGATGGTATTTTATATCAGGAAAAAACTAACTTAAGATTTTTGGAGAAGAGAATACATTTTCATATGAAAATGTTTATAGGCACTTTCTTTAGAGTATTCATTAGGCCTACAGTTTTGTGTTGTAGGATTTGATTGATTGATTGATTGATTGATATTTTTTTAAATTCTACAGTTAATTGTAATTCGAAATTTGACTAAGCACACTTCGCCACAAAACTAGTGTTAAAATCAAGGGAGGTGACTCATTTGAAGCGTGTGTCAAGGGAAGTAAACCCAATACCGGCCAAACTTTTAGCATTTTGAGTATTTCTTCGTGAAAAATTTATGAAAGAATTATCCCTCAACATTGTATTTTTACTTTATTGAGATGTTAGCAGTTAAACAAAATGACAACAAAGATGTAAGCAGTTCAGCAGTTTAGCAACAAAATGACAACAAAGATGTTACAAAGATGTTAGCAGTTAAACAAAATAACAACAAAGATGTTAGAAGTTAAACAAAATGACAACAAAGATGTAAGCAGTTAAACAAAATGACGACAAAGATGTTAGCAGTTAAACAAAATGACAACAAAGATGTTAGCAGTTAAACAAAATGACAACAAAGATGTTAGCAGTTAAACAAAATGACGACAAATATGTTAGCAGTTAAACAAAATGACGACAAAGATGTAGCAGTTAAAACAAAATGACGACAAAGATGTTAGCAGTTAAACAAAATGACGACAAAGATGTTAGCAGTTAAACAAAATGACGACAAAGATGTTAGCAGTTAAACAAAATGACAACAAAGATGTTAGCAGTTAAACAAAATGACGACAAAGATGTTAGCAGTTAAACAAAATGACAACAAAGATGTTAGCAGTTAAACAAAATGACAACAAAGATGTTAGCAGTTAAACAAAATGACAACAAAGATGTTAGCAGTTAAACAAAATGACACAAAGATGTTTTAGCAGTTAAACAAAATGACAACAAAAGATGTTAGCAGTTAAAACAAAATGACGATGTTAGCAGTTAAACAAAATGACAACAAGATGTTAGCAGTTAAACAAAATGACAACAAAGATGTTAGCAGTTAAACAAAATGCCAACAAAGATGTTAGCAGTTAAACAAAATGACGACAAAGATGTTAGCAGTTAAACAAAATGACGATGTTAGCAGTTAAACAAATGACAACAAAGATGTGAGCAGTTAAACAAAATGACGATAAAGATGTTAGCAGTTAAACAAAATGACGACAAAGATGTTAGCAGTTGAACAAAATGACAACAAAGATGTTAGCAGTTAAACAAAATGACAACAAAGATGTTAGCAGTTCAACAAAATGACGACAAGAACCTGTTCTCAACAAAAATTGACTTTAAACGTAACTTCATAAAAATGCCGACTTTTCATACTCATCACTCTACTTTAGCTTGTACAGACGTTGAAATTACACGAACACTTTGAATATAAGAAATATGAAATTAATAGCCCGTGTGTATATACTATTATAAAATAGCATTCAACTTTTATCGAACCAACTCTCAGTAAACATTTTTCTCAAGCACGGCACTGGATGGCAATTACTCTACGGTGACCTTTAACCCGACGTCTCTATTACATAACGTTGTCAACGCTGTAACGTCAAAACAGATGACGTCGTATCCATCATAAATAACTACCGCATTTCGCACAGAACCGCTAAAAATGCCTCCAAATCTATTGAATTTGTTGAAAAATTGTTTCCATAGGGCCTGTAGAAAACGATACTTCTAACGAGCTGTGGAAATTAAATAAAAAAGTCAGAGGAGAATTTAACTTTGTCGTTCACAAAAAGATTTTGACAGATTTGCAGAAATGAAGCCAAAAGATGAAGTGCCATTCTTTACGGTATGTCAATACATGTTTTTATATATGTATATCGTTGCCGCCGGAAATAGCAAAGAGCCAGGACCAGATTTTGAGCGGGTTGTTTATTACTTTTGGGACAACTCATCTTTGTTCGTAATGAAAGGATGGGTCCCTACAAAAGCAGACGAAAGAAACATTGGTGGCAAACTTAAGTAAGAAAATCAGACAGTTCAGTCCAAACGAATCGAAATCGGTATATGTTAAATCAAAAAGCTCTTGCACCGATGACAGCAAAGATCCCATTGGCGACAGGGTTATGTGATCTAGATGCTGCTTTCGGGCTTTAGAAGCGAATCAAGAAATGTTCCACCACAAATATTCTCCGGTCCGCCTCGGGTGAAATCAACATACAACTGGGGAGTTATAAATACATGGAGCAGACACATGGCCCCGGAAAGTGAAGATTATGAGCCGGTGTATATATATGATCGCTTGAGACAAGCAACTTCGCCATCAGACTCAAACATCAGTCCTCTGGAAATGTTAGACAGGGAAATCGAAAATGCTATTGAAGGTAATTTTGTTAGTGAAAACTACGGGTTCCGAAGACCAAATAAGTATAACACTATGGTATTTTCCACGTTGGATACACGTGACAGAAGAGTGAGACCACGTGCTGCTAAAGGACAGAGGACGCGCCACGTGATTACCATACAGATGAATTCATAAACTCATTCAAAGCACTGAAATAGATTTAAATAATGACCAGAAGTCTTCATGGACATAAATAAAAAAACATATTTTATATTAAGAAAAGATGATGTACTTGTATAAAATGGGCATGCTATAAAATTGATATTTTCTTTACAAATAAATTTTGTTTGAACAAAAGCATTTGGTACTTCGTTAATTAGTACCCGGAATAAGAAGATATATATACAAGTATAAATTAGCGCCGCAATTTTTCCTATTACATGTATATCGTTTCTATACTGTAACAGAGAACAAAGTTTGGAATATCACCCAAAATTGATTAAAGATATATGATTGTTGATCTTCACAGTAGTTCACCTCCCCGACCATACACCAATTGTTACATTTTGTAAGTTTTAAAGGCCCATTATGCCTCAGAAAATGCTTATAATCATTTGTTCGTTTTGAATTTTTCCTTCATTATTTAGGAAATGTCCTCAAAAAGAATACACTATAGGCAGTCACAAGAACAAAAGTTTTTTTCTCGTCAAGAATAAAATGGCGGTTTCCTAACTTGATCCATGCGAGTCGGGTTAAGGCGTTAAGATTTCACAATAGTTGTCACAGTGATCTCTGAAACGTTAAAAGAACATGTCAAATGAATGACTTAGACTTGATTCGATTATACAATATCGCACTATCTGTTATTATAATTTTCAGGGTTTGTTCAAGTCACATGCCTTGTTTTAAAACTACTCGTTGATTCTGTCGGCTCAACATATATAGATGTATATAGTTAGATATGAAATTTCAACAAAATTACACCTTAGAAATGTAAGTGTAGACAACAAATATCATATCTTGAATTAAAATTGCATTCATAAAGAAGCGATATTGTAGATAAGCAAATGTCACAACTTATTTTCTTACAACATCTTAACTGCCCATTTCAACGGAATTAATGAAAGTTATAGCAGGCTAAGTCATATTATTTTATAAATATTTATTTATTTCTCATTATAATCTATATATATTTTATAAAAACAAAAATAAATATTGCTATATTTGGGCAACATTTGGGTATATTTGGGTGTATTTGGGTATATTTGGGTATTTCGTGCCGCCGCGGGTGAGTAGGTTAGCTAACTAGAGTGTGAATACAGGGGTCAATTAATAAAATACAACATGGTTTCATCATGGTTTATTACAAATATGCACTAACATACTTCAATACAGTACAAGAATATACACCTTTACACGTCATCACTGTGCTTTATATATAGAAAACAAAGACCTTAAACTGCACAGAAACTTTCAATTCTAATGTAATAGTAAATTACTATAAGTTACAATTCAAATGAATCAAGAAACTAATGAATGAGAATCATCTAATGCGTCTAAAAACAAGTTTTTTTATGTTTTTATCAGCATTAGCTGCAATGTTTTACTTTCCACAATATAACACAGGAGTAAAGGATCTATACACCAAATGAAACTGTCAGCCAACAGAATGAAGCTTGATGTATCCTCAAAGAAATTAACAAATTGTGTATAACTTATCGATAACAAGTACACATACTAAGTTTAGTGTTAACTATGTTTGTTTCACACAAAAAAAAAAACCAAATTGAGTTAATCCTTTCACTAGATAAACATTTGAGCCGCGTCACGACAAAACCAACATAGTGGGTTTGCGACCAGCATGGATCCGGACCAGCCTGCGCATTCGCGCAGTCTGATCAGGATCCATGCTGTTTGCTTACAATCCCAATAACAAGTAGAGAAACTGATAGCGAACAGCATGGATCCTGATCAGACTGCGCAGGCTGGTCTGGATCCATGCTGGTCGCAAACGCACTATGTTGGTTTTGTCATGACGCGGCTCATTTAAGTTTTGTGTCTATACCAAACATCTTGGTTTTTGTAAGGATGGATAACTCTTCGATGACTAAAAATATAAATTAACAGTAACCAAGTTATACTATACAGTTGACAATTATTTGAGTCATGAAATAAGTATAATTCAAGCATAATTGATCTACCAAATCATTTTTTCTCATATAAGGTATTCAAAAATTCATTTACTAAACCTGTAAATGAATTTAATGTACAATTTTTCATGAAAATTCCACTCAATCTATCAGTGACATTATGCTCATATTTACGCTGTCAAGTTGAGCTGTATTAGATAATATATTTTATAAAAGATTGACTTTTATAATGGTGATTGACTATCAATTGATATTGAAAAATGTTTAAATTAAAATATATAAACTGTATTAAATATATAAGACAGTCCCACTCTATTTATTGAAAGTTAACAATACAAATTGAATTTTGCACGAGTCATTTGCGTTAATAATAACACTTGTGAAGTAGAATATAAAATTAAGAACAATTAAATTTATGGAAAAATGTAAAGTTATTTGGACTTTTACCTGTTATTTCCCTATTTACACTTGCATGGGCATAATGCCACTTAAAAACAAAATTTCACTTTAATTTCATTGCTTATTTTCTGTGTGACTATTTTGTCAAATTTAATCAGAGCATTCCATTGCTTATATTAGGGATGTGGAAAACAAGATTAACACATAGCTTTCTACAGAGCAATAAAGATTACAGTATAAAGGGTATAGTCTGTGAGATGGTCATTACCTCACCCCCCCCCCCCCCACAGGCCCCCATCTCCCGATTACCCATAATTATCTCATCAAAACAGGGGTAGACATAATCAAAGCCAGAAGGTGTAATCATTGCATCATATAAAATAATGTACGTAACACAGGCTTTTTTTCTCTTAATATTGCGAGGATAATAAGGTGTACAAGTATGTCGATACTAAATAGTAATGATTGAAAAAGCCATCCTCTAAAATCACAATTCATTTTCAAATACCAATAAACAAAATGATAAGAATCAAATTTGAAAAATATAAAAAAGCATGTGCCATCAAAAGCTATGTATTCATACTTTCAGTTTGTAATCGTGTTATTATCAACAACAAAAAATTTAACGTATTGTCCATTTCATTAATAATGAAATTGTCAAACTTTGTATGGTTCCTCCTTATTCTACAATTTACCATAGTTTTACATACATCTTTGAATTTACATCATGAAAATTGATTTTAACATACGATATTAAAGAAATGATTCCGTAATGTCAATCAATTACAATTTACTTTTATACATGTTTTAATTTTTGTAGCAAGAATAACCGTAAATACGGGTACTCTAATTATCCCTGCTGACTGATCAGTCTTGTTATTTTGATATCAAATCATTAACATTACTTTAGCAAAGGAATGTCTCAAATTCAAAACAAGACATTTAGTATAGAAAGGCTAAAAAAATTGACCATTAATAACAACTTTAATATCACTTCATATTTAATACATGTGTAACACTGTCAATTGTAAAAACCATGGTCCATCGTTCCCTGGGACAGAGCAAAAGGAATTGGGGAAATACCATTTCACCTTGTGCCTGTCCTAGCACTGCTGGGGCAGCAATGGGGTAGTTTTGTTTTGGTATTGAATTGGCAAAGGATGTGTCCAAAACGTAATTACAATAATACGAATTTAATCACCCGATGGTCATTGTAATAGTCAAGGCTCCCACTCGTCCCTTGGGACTGAGGATCATGATTACAATTGACTATAAAGGACAGTTTTAAAATGAAAACACAATATTATAATAATAAATTTAGTAACATTGTTGGAAGCAATTTTTGCCAATCTTTTCACCTTCATACATTAACAAAAATTTCTAAATACATTGTAAATGAATACAGTCAGCAATCAACGTCTTGTGAAACAGTTGACTCGCCATTAATCGCAACAACCATATTAGACTGCACCGGTTGCCATGACTACAATGTGATGAATCTATATAGCCATCTCAATGATAAGCAATGCCATTTTTGGAAATACACAACTCGGTGATCTGCCTTTGGAGTAATTAAAAATAATGCACCAGTTACTTGTCTCCCCTGTGGCAGTGCAGACGATAGAGGGAAAGTGGGTGAAGGTTCTAATTTTCATCAGTTCAATACTTTCAGGTCAATGTTGTGATTTTGTTTTGTATTGGATAGGTCAAAATTGAAGACGAGCAGTGTGTGTGGGGGTGGGAGTGTGAGGTTGTGGGTGGCTGTATTTAGTCATGGAGCTAAATATAGTTGTATATTCACTGTGATTTAGTGAAGATTTCACCATCTTGACCTTGCAGGGCTTTTCTTAAGTTTATCCAAAGTAAAAATATCTGTTTTACCTTAGAAGGCAGGATTACTACTGACTAGTGCACAAGTACCGGTATATAAAAGATATGTTATTTTTTAAAAGCACTGGCATCTATCCACAAGCAATTTTTAAGGTGTCCATAAGAAATCTTCTCTGTGAGAATGACAAATATAGGTGTAGAGGCATTATAACAAAATAAGAATTCCACTAACAAGCAAGAAATGGTGGGTGGGGTACGGGCATGGGACGAAAACTCTTAATTAAGCAAGCAAATATTAGTTCCACTCCTAAATCACACCTGATTTTTTTTTGTTTCATTCCCTAAAAAAAATTAAAAGCAGAAATGAATTAATTTGTACATTAATGATAGATGAAAGGTGTTTGCAAACAGACATTCCTCACAAATACATTTAAAAAAAAAAGATACATTGTATCATCATTATGAAAAATAACAAATAAAATTACTAGTATGCATAGATACCACTGGACACAAATAAACACTTTAGAACTCAAAACTAGTCTCATTCGCAAAGTACAATATGTTTGCTTTTATAGAAATCATACAAAACATTTCAATCAGCAAAACTTAATGACAACATTCATAGAAAAAGTAATTTGATTCATCAATAATTATCAGTAACAAAAGTGAAGACTCAGGACAAATAATCAAGGCTTGGTGCAAAACTGTGGCAATTCACAGGGACGATATAAGACGAGTTACAACCCTTTCACACTAAGCCCTCCTTAGTGTGTATCAATTTTTAAAAAAAGTAATGAAAATATGGATCTAGTACATAGATATTGAATAAATAACTCCACAGAGGTTTTTTTGACATGACAGACTGGAGATATTGTTTTTGAAACTTTTATAATACTGCATGTTTGTTACGTTGTTTTTCATTGGATAATCATGACATTTATATAATTTATATACACGGCTGCAGTCAATTTATAAATCATTTCATTTTTTTCTCTAATTAAGCATGATTGCAGTATTATTAACTCGTTATAATTCTTGGCAGGTTATTTCACCATATATAAATGGTTATTAGCAATTTAACCCTAACTTAAAGGCTCAGGATATATTTACAAACATTTAACAACTGTTTATATAGGGCCAAATAACCTGTCAAAAATTATCATTTGATATAGGTCTAGACCAATAACATGTTTGAAAATGTCATATCATTTGCTCTTTCCGATTTTCCATAATAGTTATTTCATTTCGGGCTTAGAATTGCTAAAAAAAATCTACATTCAATTTAATTCTGATTACATTTCTAATTTAAATTAACTTCTGGATATTTCTGTTTTAAATGCCCCTGTTGATCTATGTATGAATTTCAAATTTTATATTTCTTCGCTTTCGGACATCGGTGGAGGTCCTTTTAATCTAAGACAAAGAAATTAAATTGAACCTAGTGGAATGGAATGGTATGGAAGGAGCTCTAAACTGTGAAATAAAGAATATCATTATAGAATAGGAAGACAATTGTTGTATTTTGTTCATTTTCCTACAAACTAAAACAATAAAAGATGATAGTATACTACTATTTAAATCTTATTTGCTAAATTCCATAAATAGACTTGACCAACACTCATTTCTGGAACATTCCATTATCAGTTTTTGGGATATCAAGATGAAAATTCAAAGTTGATCAGCCTACAGTATTGAGCCTGGTCAGACTGCAAGTAAGTACATGCGTACCTGGACCTGTATTGTTGGCAAGCGTATATCTACTGCAGCTCAGGCAGGTTCAAGGTTAAAATTTTCTAAAAATTCTACGTCCTACAATATTCACATCTTTGTTCTCAATTAAACATTATTTCTTAACCAGTATTGCATTAAAAGAATGGTACCTTCACAAGAAAAACTGTTTCATTGTTTCACAAGTTGATATTTTTTTATACAATTTTTATATTTTTTATGCACAAAAGAATTTGAAGAAAAATTGCTTTTAATTGTAACATGTATTGACAAATTTTGCTAATATTTTTTTCTTTCTTCTTTTGTTGGTAGATCTGTTTCTTGCCAGTTAAAGAAAACATTTTAAAGAAAAATCATGTTTTTAATTTATAAATCACAAACTAGCAACCACTCTCAATTCTTAAAGTGTTTAACAATGGGATTTTATTCATACTTCTTTTCATATAGGCCAAACCATGGTTGTTTGTTTCATATATTCTATATCTGCTTAGAGTTACATCTCTACCTGTTATGTAATCGTTAATTTCATCTCTGATATGTTTATGAAAATATTTGACTCTTGTTTTGTATCCGTATATGATTACTATCAGTTAAAGACTTTGTAAAAAATGTTAAATTATTATCTATTTATAATTATCTTGACATTTATAACAAAGAAGTGTATAGCAGTAACTCTACAGGACTATGTCACATTGAAAGTAAATAAAAGCAAAAGAGCAAAACAGTGTAAAATATCTAAATTCTAACTCAGGGTGACCATGCAGCCCTTCTTGAACTTGTTGCTATAAAATTTGGCAAGTGTCTCCAACTTTATCTAGTCTACATACCAGATATACTTTTGTGTGCTTATATTGCTTTCCTGTATAAAAGTGCATTCTTTCCTGTAGATTAATAAACTTTCTGTTCATTATCTTCCCTATGTATCTTTGTACTGTCTTTTGATATGTTGTACTTTTTCTATACAATTCTTATCATGTCTGTAATTTTACAACTTCTTCATCAATTTCCTATCTTTCCTTTAATTTCATAATTTTTTTACAGTATACTTTTATCATATCTTCATTTCTGTAGATTTCTCATCTTTCCTGGAGTTTTAATACTTTTCTTTAAATTCTCATCTTTTTTGTAGTTTAACAGCTTTTCTGTAGATGAGTTATCTTTCCTGTAGTTTTATAACTTAGCAGTATTATAAAGCAGAAATAAATCATGAAGTAAGCACTATACAGTAACTATATACAGGGGGGAGCCGACGTTATACCGTTGTACTCTTAGGTTGTACCTGAGGCCTTGCATACTCTACAAACTCGTCTATTAACACTGGCCAGGCACCTGTAATATAATAAACATTGTTTGTTATCATTGTATGCTTTACACTTGCAACATTTTTTACCTTGAAAGGTATATAACAAAAGGACTGACGCAACAATATATATGAATAAAATAAATAAATGAGCCGCGTCACAACGAAACCAACATAATGGGTTTGCGACCAGCATTGATCCAGACCAGCCTGCACATCCGCGCAGTCTGATCAGGATCCATGCTGTTCGCTATCAGTTTCTCTACTTGAAATAGGGTATGTAAGCGAACAGCATGGATCCTGATCAGACTGCGCGAAGAAGATTTCCGGTCAACTTGTGTGACAGGTGTTAATTACACAGCAGATTGTTAAATCTGCCTTTGTGTGCGTATAAATTTGTGATAAAATGATTTAATTGTTACCATTCAAATTGCTGTAGTGGTATTTGAAAGTAAACAGTAAGGGCAACGCTTTTCACTCAAATCTGACTGAGAATAGAACAAACATACAATGTATTTCTGAGTATATTTCTTAGTTATATTTAATATATATTTCTGTTTTAAACGGCCCCATTTGATTTACGTCAGAAATTAAAACTTTATGATTTTTTGCCCAGTGGAGTTCATTTAAACAGCAAAAACAATTTACCTTCTTCATCATAGTTACTCATGTCCTCATTGATCATGTTACAAAAATCTAGCAACAAATTCCACGTATCTTTTGGTATTGATCGTTTATGATGCTCCTGTAATGTAAACATATTCATTCTGTGGTTTATCTGGTTAAGATTAACGATAAACTTCAACTGTTAAAGTAACATGGTAGCTTTCCAGCTTTACTGATAGAAAAAATCTCAGGTGCCTCTCCTTACATGATCTCGGTCATAAGTGCAAGTTGAGGTAGAACTGAAAACCAGAGTAGAAGCATCAACCTTCCTTTAAATTGCTAGATAGCTTCCTCCCATGGATGAATACATAGTCCCTGGTGGGACTTGAACAAACAGTGGTGAGGGCAAAGTGATTCCAAGTCTGCATCTCAGCGGCATTTCCTACTCGACCACAAGAACTCATTTTGTGTAATTAACAAATTTATCTAAATATAATGTTTAAATGACTATATCCCAGGGAAATGAAGCATTTTCTAAGTGACTAAGATGAAACAACATAAAGTAGGTTTTACATACAGTTGTGGTAAGAGAGAAAGGCAAACAACAGTCAACACTATTGAAGAACAAGCTCCCTCATATCACAGAACTAGAAATCTTAATCTGAACACATTCTTCCCAAATAACAGTCATAAGAATAAGACTCTCCAGCCAATACCTTTCAATGTATGTATGTATTCTAGGCTTAATGAGGGTCCATCCACCCTTTTAGGCACTGAGAGTAAGGACCCCCAGACATGTCACCATTCATGTCCTTTAATGTTTCTATCACACAAAAGGTGACTTATGAATTCAGTAATTCACTGAATGATACTAAATATGTATGCAAGTTGAGTTTTGTGATGATACAATTTTGATGCACGGGAGGCCAATGAGATTATTATATGTATCATGGAGAAAAATAAATGATGAGCTTGACTGATCGATAAGATTATGCAATTCAGACTGATACCTGACACATATTTTCGGTATGCACGACCGACATGCACGAGCATTCTTTCCAGGTTTTTACAAGTGACCCTTTGATATTTATATATATATGAAACTGACTACAGAAGTCATGATGGGCATTTTAGTAGATCAAAATTTTGACAATGTGTTAACTGTTCAAAAATATGATGTTGATATTGAAACTCTTCTAAATTTATTTTATTCTTTACCTGTAAAAATTGACTCCATAAAGGTAGAAATTTGAATCTTCCTGATAAAACAATATTCCAGTATGCTATTGCCATATCTAAATCTGAAATAAAAGAAAATTTTCTTTATGTTCTAAACATATGTTATATACAATTGAAAGCCCCATAATGCCCAAAATATACTTTATTTTCATTACTCAAGAGCAATCTATTTTTGGTTCCCCATTAAAATACCATAAAAGTTACTCATCGCCCAATTTTCAGAACAATCTTTTGCTTCTGATTTTTTGGCACTAAATACAGTTTCAGTGATTTGGTATTTTGTATGGAAGTAAAAATGATTTTTGTTTTCAATTTGCTACTTCTATTACTAATAATTTCACATTCTTACTTCTTTCCTAAAGTAATAAGATTCTAACTTGTCTTAAACCATATTTTAAACACATAATAAAACTCACGACTACCATTTCCAAAAGGAGGAAAAATTAAATTGTTTCTGAGGCATAATATGCATTTAACAAGCTTCTACTCCAGTGATTTCTTCCTGGTTTTTTTATTCATATTGTCCAATCAAATGTAACCTTGAGACAGTCATATTGCTAAATACCCCATACTACATGTTGGACATATGCAATGCTATTCTGTCTCTAAAACAAAATAGTACAAGGCAAATGGAGGGTAAAAACTGAGACTATTTCCCTCACTATCCCCCACCCTGCCTGTGTTGGAGGGCAGGAGTTATAACTGCCTAGTGTATTCAGCATTTCATGTCATTAATTCAAACAAAAAATACAATGAAACTGCTTCCAAGCAAACAAGGCAAATTTTTTCTTTTTTATGGTCCCACCAACACAGTATAGGTCATATGGCTACTTTCCAACTTTACTGGTGTAGAAAGACCTCAGGTGCCCTTCCGTGCATTATTTCAGGCACCCCAGTAGAACCACTGATGTTCCATAAACTAGCTGGATAGCTTCCTCACATGAAAAAATTCAGAGTCCCTGCTGGGATTCGAACCTACAGCGGTGAGGGGCAAGTGGTCTGGAGTAAATGACCTTTACCACTCAGCCATGGATGCACCATGGATGCACCAATTTTTAAAAAAGCCTTTTAAGGGGCCATAATTCTGTAATGCATTATGAGGTCTTACTAATGATGCAAGTTCTGCTTAAGTACTGTTTATAATTGAAATCAAATGGGGAAACACAATCATGTTGATGTTGATGCACAGACAACTCACAAAAATTTAAAATAACCAAAAACAAAATTATAAAACATTTGACTGATACTGTATGTATTATGAAGGTAACTCTTTTATACACTTGTACAAGCAACAGGTACCTGAATGAACCAAAATCAATTAGTTACAAATGATTGTTTTTACTGTTTACCTTACAAAGGTGTGATGGTCAAGTTAAAGACAATAGTATATAAAAGTAACATACCTAAACCTTTTTGTCCTGGGTTTTTAGCATAATTAAAAGTAAACTGATAAAAATCTTTGAATTTAGAGGGATCCCTGATCTCTTGTTCCAACTGGGAACACTTTTGTTTCAGCTTCTCTGGTGTATCACATCTGAAATAACATCATTTAATCACATCTGAAATAACATGATTTAATCACATCTGAATAATATTATTTATTATACACTTAAAATACTTATAAATGAAATATTGAAAAATATTGATGAAATAAAATGCATATTTTCATTTTCCATATTTTCACTGAAAAAAATTATTTTTCACTGCAGTGAAACATATTTTCCGTATTTTCACTTGTCTCAATTCTGCCAGTAAACAAAATTTAAGTCTTTCAAATTGTAATATCACATCTGAAATAACATTCTTTATTTTATATACTTATAAATGAAATCTTGAGAAAAAATGATGTAATAAAATATTTTCATTTTCAATATTTCACTAAAAAAAAAATATTTTTCACTGGTCTTAATTCAGCCAGTACACAAAATTAAGTCATCAAATCTGAAATAACATGATTTACCACATCAGATATGACATCATTTATCGCATCTGAAATAACATGACTTATTAATCATGTCACATAAAATAACATGATTTATCAATAAAATCAAGTCTGATTCCTAAATAACATTATTCATCGAACACACAACATCTATAATACCATGATTTATTAATGTTATTATGATTTTTCAAAATTTACCTGATATGATTGTAATCAGATTATACCTGCAATAACATGTCACATGTAAGTATACTTCACACTTATTACACTTATTATTACATGAATCACAAAATTTCAATGTTACACTCATAGAAACATATTGAGGGCTGATTGCAAAACTGCAGTAATTAATATGAAGTAAAGACAGACTTACAAATGTTTTGTGGTCAACCCTCTATATAGATCTTCATAAACATGATAAACTTATTATGCTTGCACTCGTTTTATTGACATATCTCTATTCATTCTATATCATTCTATATCAACACATTCCAAGTATGCGCTTGAAAGCATTTGAGCCGCATCATGATAAAACCAACATAATGGGTTTGCAACCAGCATGGATCCAGACCAGCCTGCGCATCTGCGCAGTCTGATCAGGATCCATGCTGTTCGCTATCAGTTTCTCTACTTGTAATAGGGTTGTAAAGCGAACAGCATGGATCCTGATCAGCCTGCGCGGATGCGCAGGCTGGTCTGGATCCATGCTGGTCATGTTGGTTTTGCCGTGACACGGCTCATTTGTTGAACACCTAGTTTAACAATAAATGCATTTTTTACAGTAAATTTGTCTGCTTCACACAAAACATAAGCTATGAAATGCACTCCTTGCAAAAAAAGTGGAATCTTTATGATTATACTAATACACACAGTAGTAGCGGGATCCATTGGTTAATTTGTTGGACAAATAAATGAAATATTGCCACCTGCTTGTGTTTCAACCCCGTCAAAGTGCAGGTGTTTGCTTCCTTGAGAAAAAACTTTACACTCTTCCAGGTATGAATTCAAGTGTATCTGTAAGCATAGAACTTCCCTACACAATCAAACTGAAGTAAATTCTGTATAAAACTAATGCAGAATTCCTGCCTTTCCAGGCTATACTAATGTATTACATATCATTCTTACCCTAATTCAACCATGCCATTTAAAAACTCTTCCTTTGTAAATTCACATTGTGTTGCTGCCTTAAACCTCCAGGCTATAACAAGAACTGTCCTTGATTCAGGATTTAAATTCAACTCTTCAAGAAACTTCATTACGCCATCCACTGTCATCTTGTCTTCCTCATGGGGATCTATAGTGTAACAAGTTACATGCTAGATATTCTTTATTTTACTTGCAAAGCCTCAACACTATATTCATTAAAGGGACTCACTCCACTGACATTTTTTGATGTGAAGGAACCGAAAATATTTTTTCAAGATATTTGTATAACTAGATGTATGTCTAGACCAATAACTTGTGTACGAATTTCAGAACATTCGCTTAACCAGTTTCCCATAAATAATCATTTTTATTTGAACAGACTTGGTAGACACCCATAAGAAGATGTTTCATGCTAAACATCTAAGTTCTAGCTCATTGGCTTTTTTAAAAGAAGATTTTTTAAAGTTTTTACTAAACACATATAGTTAAAAACAATGACACCCCTGGGGCAGGGCCAGTTTTGACCCCCGGGCGTTTATTTTAACAAACTTTGTAGATATTTACTTAAAGATGTTTCATGCTTAATATCTAAACTCTAGCTATTTGGGTTTTTCCAAAGAAGATTTTTAAGTTTTTGCTATACACATATAGGGAAAATCAATGACCCCCCCGGGCGGGGCCAGTTTTGACCCCAGGGCTTTTATTTGAACATACTTGGTAGACACCTATTAGAACATGCTTCATGCTTAATATCTTAGCTCTAGCTCTTTGGGTTCTTTAAAAGAAGATTTTTTAAGTTTTTACTATATGCATATAGGGAAAATCAATGACCCCCTGGGGCGGGCTCATTTTGACCCCAGGGCTTTTATTTGAACAAACTTGGTAGACATTCACTAGAAGATGTTTCATGCCAAATATCTAAGCTCTAGCTCTTACGGTTCTTTAAAAGAAGATTTTTTAAGTTTTTACTATATGCATATAGGGAAAATCAATGACCCCCAGGGGCGGGGCCAATTTTGACCCCAGGGCTTTTATTTGAAGAAACTTGGTAGACACTCACTAAAAGAGGTTTCATGCCAAATATCTAAGCTCTAGCTCTTACGGTTCTTTAAAAGAAGATTTTTTAAGTTTTTACTATATGCATATAGGGAAAATCAATGCCCCCCTGGGGCGGGGCCAATTTTGACCTCAGGGTTTTATTTGAACAAACTTGGTAGACACTCACTAGAAGATGTTTCATGCCAAATATCTTAGCTCTAGCTCTTATGGTTTTTTAAAAGAAGATATTTAAAGTTTTTTCTTTTGGTTGCCATGGCAACCAGAGTTCTGCATGGAATTAAATTCTTTGAACAATTTTTAAAGGTGACCACCAAAGGAACATTCCTGTGAAGTTTGGATGAAATTGGCTCAGTGGTTTATGAGATGTCATTTAAGACGGATACGGACGCCGGACGAAAAGCGATCACAAAAGCTCAAACTGTCACTTTGTGACAGGTGAGCTAAAAAAAGACTTTATTAAATTTCATTAAACCATATAAATGCAATTTAAATACTAAATAACAAAATTTTATGCCAGCTAGCTTATATTTATTATTTTTCTTATTCATACTGTCTTTTACTTACCAAAATAATACCATTTCACAACGATAGGCAAGACAAAATGGTGAAGCATGTGCACTAATTGAGAAAATAATAACATGGTGCTAATCTCTAGATGCGTGCCCTATTATTTTATGTCCCGGGTTTGATATAATCATACAGTAATTTAGCTGTTTTATTTATTTTCGTTTGGCAACAAATACAATCTTATCTGTCATTCATCTTGCTTTTTCTCACTTGCAAAAAAAACATCTCTCTAGAAAAGGTGCCTGTTGCAAACTGAATATCAAGGATCAAAAATTCTCTTCAGAGTCACTTATTGCTTTCAAATTTCTACTCATCCAGCATGCTTTGCTACTTGTCCTGTATTTTGACTGGATTTTCAAGATAAACTTCTCTGATGCAATAGAACATCGCCAATGCAAGAGACCTCTAAAAATTTAATTTGTTTATATAAAATCAACAAACCAAAACCAGAAACATAGCTTGTGTTTTAGGTTATGTATAAAATGCGCACTTTATAGAGCATTGTCAGGCACATTCCTATCACACAAGTATCAGAAACAGGGTATTATCTGAAGATGGAATAATTTTTAAACCTGGAATGCACTTAAATAACTGCTGCAGGGGTTTAGTTGAACTAAGGGGGGTTAGTTGATGCCAAACATAAGAAATTGAGGGTTAGTTGAACTAAGGGGGGTTAGTTGATGCCAAACATAAGAAAATGAGGGTTAGTTGAACTAAGGGGGGTTAGTTGATGCAGCGCATCAACTAACCCTGAATCTGATCTAAGGGTTAGATGATGCGGCGCATCAACTAACCCTGAATCTGATCTAAGGGGTTAGTTGATGCGGCGCATCAACTAACCCTGTATGTGATCTAAGAGGTTAGTTGATGCGGCGCATCAACTAACCCTGAATCTGATCAAAGGGGGGTTAGTTGATGCGGCGCATCAACTAACCCTATATGTGATCTAAAGAGGTTAGTTGATGCGGCGCAACAACTTACCCCATTAGATCACATATAGGGATAGTGCTTTATAAACATAGCACTGAGAACTTTGTATACTGCAAAAATCTGACTTCTGAAGAGTAATTTTTCACATACAGACATAATTTTTTTGCTTTATTTGATCCTGGTGACAATGAACGTCTAGTTCAATTAAAAAGATTGACAAAACAATAAAATTTAGTTAGCTTTCTATATATTTATTTACACATAAATTTACTTTAACATTTTAGTTTTTCAATAATCAAATTCTTTTTTTTTTAACCAATTGTAAATAGAACAGGGTCATAATTATAACCCACATTCGCTCACCTTTTAGCAAAAATATAACTTTTCTTAACTAGAAAATGTCACAAACTAAATATAAAAGCACAAGGCCTTGTCTTGGAGAAGAATTTTATAGGTTTTATAAGTATATGAAAAGTAGACAGAAGAGCCATGGTTAGGAAAAACTTGGTAGTTGTCCACTAAACATGCTTCACTCAAAATATATAATTTCTAAGCATTGGGGGACTTCCTATATATATATATATGTCATAATGTGGGTACAGGTTTTCAGGTATTTGCCTAAAGTTCAGGTTATTTAATACTCCTTAAAGTATACTTCCTAAAGAAAACCTATAAATATTATAGTAAATTCAGGTATTCTTGCACCCATATATATAAGACTTTGTAAAACTTACTTGTCCAGGGTCAGGGTCAATTTTGACCTGTTGGGTATGAATTAAATAATCACAGTTATGGTCCAATATACATTGCTATATACAAAAATTGATAGTTTGATGAAATTTGGCCTATTGGTTATTAAGAAGATTTACCATAAACAATTTGGTTGGTTAGACAAGTCAATGATAATAAAAGCTGACTATTCGCACCATCTTTTATATGTTATACATGTCTTTAGTGGACAACACCAAAGTGACTCAGAGTGACTGACCTTTTACTAACTGACCTTAAGAGCATGCAGTAACTTAAAAACCATAGAGTACCAGTTTTTGTGCACTGCACTTCATCTCGATGAGACCTATCATCCTATGAAGTTTCATGCCCAAAGCTTTTATAGGTTAGGAGAAATGGCCAGGATAAAAATAAAGTATGAAAATTAAATAAAGGACAAAAACTCAAAACATAAGGAGTGCAGAGTATCAGTTCTTGTGCACTGCACTTCTTCTTAATGAGATCTATCATTCTATGAAGTTTCAAGTAAATAGCTTTCATTGTTTAGGAAAAATGGCCCGGACAAAAATAAAGTATAAAAAGTAACAAAGGGCGATAACTCAAAAAATAAGAAAAACAGAGTGCCAGTTCTTGTGCACTGCACTTCTTATTGAGATCTATCATCCTATGAAGTTTCAAGCCCATAGCTCTTATAATGAGAAATAATTAATCATGAGAAATGGCCCGGACAAAAATAAAGTATGAAAATCAACGAAGGGCAATAACTCAAAAAATAAGAAATGCAGATTACCATCTCTTGTAAACTGCACTTCTTAATGAGATCTATCATCCTATGAAGTTTCAAGCCCATAGCTTTTATAAATCATGAGAAATGGCCCGGACAAAAATAAAGTCTGAAAATCAACAAATGGCAATAATTCAAAAAATAAGAAATGCAGAGTACCATTTCTTGTGCACTGCACTTCTCCTTAATGAGGTCTATCATCCTATTAAGTTTCAAGTCCATAGCTTTTATAATTGAAGAGAAATAGCCCTGACAAAATAAATAAATATGAAAATTAATTAATACTCAAAAATTAAGAAGTGCAGAGTACCGGTCCTTGTGCACTGCACTTCGGGTTATTAAAAGAAGCATGCACACAAAGTTTGAAGTAAATCAGATTTATTGTGACTGAGTAAAGCTCAGGACAAACTTTAGGGGCCGCCGACAATGACGTGGTTGACAAAAGTAACCCCTATATATCACCTTTTCAAGGCGACATAAAAAAAATAATTGTAATTTGTTTTAACAACTTTGGTAGAGCTCCTTTAAATGATACAACAAACCAAACAATAAAACTCTTGGCCAGAAAATATTTCGACACATGCATTTTAAAACCCCTTTGTTGTTTGGTTTCTATGACCCACATAGGCAACCAACTGGAAACATTTGGACAGCTTTGATAAGAGACCACCTATGGAATTTTCCTGTGAAGATTGGTCCAAATACAAATACAGTCATGTTTTCAGAAAAAATTTTTTTAGTAACTGGTTATAATGCATGACAGACAAAAAGCCATCACAAAAGCTCAGCATGAGCACATTGTGCTGAGGTGAGCTAAGAAACAAAGTTTACATTGTTACAAAAATAAATTGAAAAATCTTGCCAGACTGAACTAAAAAACACATTAAACAAAGAGTTCATCTCCTGGTACAATGTATTCGGTTTCTGCTGTGTTCCTTTATTGCATTTGACATTATAAAAGTCCTAAATTCTCAACAATATTACCTATCTTTTCTATGACAACAAATTTATAAAACTGCTACACTAAAGGCCTTACTCAGTCAAAATTCACATCAGAAAATAACAGTATTCTACCTTTCCTGGAATAATTCAGGTAATAAATTAAGACAGTGTGCGAAATGGCAATGAATGCTTCCAAACACTAAACTGAGTATGTGAAGGAAAATGTAAAATCTCTATTATTCTTGCAATTGACCTCAACAACCCCAACTTAAGTTAGAGAACTACAGAAGAAATGTTCTTACCAAACATGAAATGCTTTTTTGTCAATTAATAATGGTTGTTCAAGCAAGTGTAGAATATTCTTTGCACTTGTGACCTTTACCCTAGTAATCTCAAACTCGCACAGAGTTACTAAAAGGACCATAAAAAGTATCTACCTATCAAATATGAAAGATATTGGTCAATAAATAAAGTTAAAAGGAAAAACTGTAGGACATAATTGCGACATAATTAAAGAAGGACAAAGCGGCAACTATATGCTTTGCAAATGTTTTCAGGAAGCATCAAAAGGTAGAATACTGCATAAGGAGATCTTCACTTAAAATTAATTTTAGGTAATTGCTTGTTGCTGCATTGTTTTTTCAATCACTATAAAACATTATCGACATTGTCCCAAAGGACATTTAATTCAATGAGATCTTGACTGTCAGAATTGTAAGAAGCTACACACTCTCAAGTAATTTTTAAGATATACGCAATTAACTTTTCCCCCATTGTGTAGGTTTTTCAAAAGTCTTGTAATTTCTGACATTGGATTTGTAAAGTTCAATTTCATCCTCCTGGTACAAGTGACAAGTTATGGCTAATTTGTCAGGCACTGCACTACTTTATGTCCAATATGTGACAGTGTCAGGCTCTCTCATTGATATGAGGCACCAACAGTTCTTTTGGAAATAGCCACATGTTTTCCAGTATCCAAGGCGTAACTCACTCCATCCTGAAATCAGTAAAACCACAGTATTTAACATATTTTCCTTCATTATCAATGATAATATTCATGTCAATGAATTTGGTATTTTTTGTTTGTTTTTTTAAAAATGAATTTGCATCATCCACCAAAAAGCAGTCAACACTGTAACACTAGTCCAAAGTAAGTCATCTGTTTCTTACTCAAGTTAAAAAGTTTATTGCAGATTATTGTGCAATAAATTTGCATTAAAATTTCATGCATAAGAAAGAAATTATTTTTCCTTCGGTAGAAAGAGCAATAAAATCCACCATGCTGGACCTTTTTTATTCATAAAACAAAAACATCAGATGAATATTATTGTAAAGAATATTACAAGAAAAAAACATTATTTTAGCCCCACTTCTTTTTTAAAAAACATAAATAAATAGAGGTATTGTTACAGTCATTTTGGCATTGCCATACGCAAACTTGTACCTTGATTATATCTTTTTAAGTTCTTGGTGTATTGTCTTCATACTTGGGACCAAACTAACCTTGACCTTCATTGACTTTGATATTCAAAGTCAATTATCTAAGTTTTGCTTGTTTTTTTTTTTTTGCTATTAGTGGCTTTAACTTCGTTATTTATGAATGGACTGTCTTTAAACTTGAGCATCATAAAGAATATACTATCAAGTTTACCACTTTGAAGGTTGAATAATTTTTTTTTTACTACTTTTTGCTTTAATTGACAGTAACTTGGTAATTAATAAATGGATCATCTTTATACCTAAGAAAACAACATTTTGAACAAGACCTTCTTAAAGGTTGAAGTAACCTTGATGACCTTGACTGTCAAATTATTGAATATCATTATTTTATCATTTATGTACAGATTTGATTTAAACATGGACATGACAAGACTTACAACCTAACAAACACATTGAGTAATTAAGATGTGACCTTGTACTTAAATTAACCTGGAATGTCAATGTTAAAGCTGCTGGTCTCCAAGATGAGCCAAAATATTTCACGAAAATCAATATTAAGAAAATGTACTACAATTTTAAGAAAGTAAAAACATTCAAGATCCAAGATGCAGTATTTTATCACCATTTTTCTAACACGTTACTAACACAGTAAGGGCTGTTTTTGCACGTTTTTCTAATTTTCTTGGATTGTAAGTGCCGATTGCAATATGTAAATTACTACTTTTGTTCACCTCAAAATATTTTACTTTCAAAATTTTCATGAAAGTTAACATGAATCTGGATGCAACTTGCTTTAAATTAATGAAATTATATAACTAGCTATAAGCCTATAACTTTGTTATTTATAAATGAATTCATATTAAGACATAACATATCTTAGGTCAGGACCTTCATGTATATCAAACTCAAATTGACCTTTACTTATGTTTGACCTTGACCTTGAAGGTAAATTATTTTATTTTCTCTGATATCGCTATAATTGGCTGTTATTCTGTAATTTATCAATGGATTTTTTTTCATACTTTAGAAAAAATAAACTTTTGAATATGACATTCTTAAAGGTTGAACTGACCTTGACTTTTAAATGACCCTGACTATCAAATTATTGAATTCTTTGTCATTTATTAATGGAAAAGATTCATACTTGGACAAAACAAGTGTGACTAGACAAAAAAAAAGAAAAATACATTATTTTTCTTCTTTTATTTTCTTTTTATTAAACTGTTTATTTGTTTGCTTTAAGCATTGCCCCTGCCCCCGCCCAGCAGCTGCTCTTATCTTGTACAAAACATAATTAAAGTTTCATATCTGACCTTGTCTGACTGATCTTTTTAACCCCAGGCAAACCATATTTTAACTTGAACAAAAAATCAACATTAAACATTTTTTTTGGTATTATAATAAACATTAAATTTTTAAGATTGCAAAATTTTTTTAGATGGCAATATCAACGACAACATGACTCTAGCAGTAGATCTTTTTTTGTTCGAAAAAGTCAAGCTTATTAATAATGGCCCATACTGAAGTTTCTTGACATCACTCTCCTAACGTCTTGTGAGGGCAAGGCATGCAAAAAGATTGTGAGATCATATAATTTATACAAACTCATAAAACGAGGCTTTAATAATGCTAGAATAAATGAAAACTGTTGAACAATTTGTTCCAGAACAACACATTCAACTATTTTTCCAGGAGTTGATTGGCTATAGTTAGTGCTTAAGTTAAGTTGTGCTTAAGTCATCAAAGTCATATAAAGACATTTTAAAACATAATCTGTATTAGATATAAAAGTGGTAATACATGGTGAAAAAAAAATAACTATGAAAGATTACCTGAAAAGACATAACTGCCTCTACATATGATGTAAGCTCATGATGTAAGTTCAGTGAAATGGAATGGCATGACATTGTTGAAAATTTCACCTCTTCGTGTAATTACAGTTTACACTCAATTTCAAAATTCTATGTACCTAAAACATGAGAACATTGTATGAAATATTGTAAAAAAGCTTTTTTTAAATCTATAGTTCATTATAACTAGTGGCAATTTATGTTAAAAAATTTACTTAAATGTACAAGTGCCAATAATATATGTTAAAACAAGAGCTGTCACCCAAGTGACGTATGCCCCTGAAAAGGTTTCTTAAGCATGCAGGTATTATGAAAAGAAAAGAGAATGAAAATAACTATTCTAATTGCTTAATATTGTTCTTTGTATTATTGTACCTGTAATCTCTAATTGTGTTAGTGTGAACCTTAAAAATATAAGTGTGACCATTTTGCCAAGACCCACTACAAGTAGTACAAGATCAGGGTGAAAGGTCACCCTTAAGATTCAAACATAGTGACTGTTCCATTAAAATGACAATCAATGCAAGTGCATAAATTATGAAATAATTGGTACAGGACTTTACATGTAGAACTTTTCAGTTTAGTTTAAACTTGTGAAGAATGACAGACAGCTCAATAACTATTATACAGGGGCATATAAAGCACTGTCATAATACAATTAGTCATAATTATACAGTGAACAGTTGGGGTAGGGGAGAGCTATATAGAAATCATTTTGTCCCGTTGTATCTCATCTCATGAACCAGTAGAGATATTGACTTGAAACTTGTCACATCAGAGCAATATCACAATTCATCTGTGTCAAATGTCATAACTAAGAACTTCTTTTTTAACAGACATTCTGCTCATTTTTAACTTAAAACATATAGGGTAAAGTGATCGTAAGTCGGACACATCATTGCTTCTTCCGTTTGTAGAATCTATTTTTAGAAACATATCGGAATTTCCAAAGCACTTACACACGGGGAAATACTTTAAAATGCGAAAAACAATCATAATTACTCGGAACCAGTGTAAGAAAAGAATAAAAATCGGGTGTAAAGCCAGGTACCAGCATTTGATGTTGACTCGGACGGATTTGATGTTGAGTCGGACACCAATTTTTTTGACTTGGGCGGTAAAACTTACGGTCCCGTTCTAATCGGTATTCATCAAAATAATCGAATGAAATATATGGATGTTGTATTATTGTTCCAGAAATATTATAAACATTATAAATAATATAATTATTATATTTTTAACTAAAGTTTATAGCTGATGATTCTGAGTAAGTTCATTTCTCATCGCTCCGGGCAATTATCAGACTGACTAGCTATATCAGAAACGGGGCGTATTTATTGCTTACAGACTAATTTGTATTTTAGTTTGATTAAAGTGCGTAAGTACAGTGTAAATTAAACATTTAGTTTGCAAAATTAAATGAAACACTATTCTAAAATATTGACGTTACCGTGATATTTTATTTTGAAAAAAGTGTCTTCAGGGTAATAGACACAACATGCAAATCTGACAAAACATGCAGCCGACGCATAAACGTAAAAATAGGCGTATACGCCGTTACATACATGAACTCATTCAATGTTTTTGTACAGTAAGCATTTTAAATGATTTCAATTATGTATTTATTTTTGTTGGTTCTAGTCACGCAAGCATCGTAGGTTTCTACATGTGAGAAAGCTATCAAGCTAGCTTACGGAATGTCGCTTGTTCTACTTAGTTGCTTTTTTGTGTCTGCAATAACGTACAGAGGGGCACCTGACGTCTTCCTCTATCAGTAAAGCTGGTAAAGCTGGTAGACGCAATATGACTTTAGTATTACTTCGTTGGTAAGGCGTACGTAAACCCCACTCTCTCACCCAAAGGCTAGAAACGTACACAATTTCCTGTTTTTCTCACAACATCTAAACAACAATATGCTTTTTGGTTAAAGAAAATATCACATTCGGAGGAGAGGGTCGAAATTTGCTGTTTTATTTTATGTGTATGGATGGTTCAGCTAGAACATTTTCGTTTGTCTAATAAAATATATTTTCTGAAAGATACCTGTGACAGCATGAATATTGTTACGCAACAGTAACACATTTAATAAATATGCTAAATTGAAATCAAATTAGGCTGTTGTCACTGCTTTCACTTTAGAACTGACAAAGGTCTAGGACGTATTTGGGATTTAATTTCTTAATATATGTTTGAATTCATGCAGAGCAAAATCAAACAAACAAAAAAACAACAACAAAAATAGCAAAAAAGCAACATGTCATTTAAACAGAGAAAGGTGTTCAATCATGATAATATATATGTTACGGCAAAATGTGAATGTGATCCATGCTGTTGGCTTACCAACCCTATTACAAGTAGAGAACAGCGTGAATCCTGATCAGACTGCGCGGCGAATGCGTAGTCTGGTCTGGATTCATGCTGGTCGCAAACGCACTATGTTGGTTTTGTCGTGACACGGCTCATTTATATATGTTCCCAGGTTAATGAAGTGTGTCTGCCTTACACATGTTAACCCTGATTCTGAGATTCTGTAATTATGTTTTTTTTATTAATTGCTGTTATATAACGTAGATTGGACTTTTTATAAGAGCGAAGCTTTGAACATAAGTGTATCATTTTAAGTTTCTGTGCGTCTTCACGACGCAGGTAACACAAGCCGACATGGCGACTAGGACCTGTATGTTTCAGGTAGATCTAATACTAGCCCAACAAATTGTGCGCTTTATGGCTTGTTTTATATATACGATAGTCGCCCTTCGCGACAGACATCTGACTATGAAATATCAGATTATAAAATCGGTCTGTCTTGCAGTCGAAATATTGAGACTAATCTAATACAAGTTTGGCTCCAGGGTGCATGCTAAAAACGTATCTGCTTACGTATACATACGTATACCAGTTACAACCAAGCAATAACAAAGTTAAAGTTGGTAACACTTTGAAACTAAGAAACCATTTAAATTGTAAAACAAAGAAAAAAGCAGCTACGTAATGAGATGAACATATGTTTGACATAAAGATATCTAACATAATTTGAAAACACGAATACCAAATATCACATTTTAGAAAGAAGTTATATAGCGTAAGTATTAATGAACCATGAATATATATGAACTCTAGATCTAGAATAATGATAGGAAGGAAGCAGTGACAAGAGCCTAATTAAATTTCATGTAGCGCGGTATCCGCCTATCCTTTCGTCTATTCGTAGAGCGCATGCCTTGTCAGAATTGTATCTTGTCTATATTAAAAAATATCGAACACTGAAGACATTTTTTTTTCAATCAATTATCTAACTATAGATCTAGATGTAATGTCATTTGATATTAAGCTTCAATAAATACAATGATGAATTTATTGTATCGCAAAAAATATAGGAAGCTTAAAAAATATCTTTCTTTTACTAGATAGGCCTATACGCTCTTTGTCGTTATAAAGAATAAAACTAGACCTTGTAGATACAGTCATGTATAGAACAATGGGTAATTATGTCAATAGAACCTTCTTTGAACAGTGTCCGACTTAACATCGAATTTTCACTTTTGACTGTCCGACTTAACATCTAATTTGGTTCCTACGCCGGGTGGGGAAAGGTAAAAGAAATACGAGGCAAAATAATTAAACAAGTTAAGAACACAAATTAAACATGTATACTTGTATAGTTGATATATATTTATATATGCATTCTTTAATTTTTAATACTTTAAACCACTGAAATAGGAAGACCAGTCTTACTTTTCTGGAATCCAGATTTTCAAATTTCGCGCCGATAGAGCTATTTATAGTAACAATATTCAGAAAGACAGGAAGTAAGCCACGCTGACAAGAAAGACAACTATGCACGGTTTAAATGTTAAGGTTGGTTTGACTGCACTTATTGGCATGTTAGAAACGTTTTAACAACATTTAATGAACAGCTAAAAATGTCCGACTTTCGATCGTGTCCGACTTACGATCACTTTACCCTAGTATATAATACTCAAGTCAACCAGACTGACCTTGACCTTGATTCATAAATGACCTTCAAAGTCACATTATTGAATTTTGGTAAGGGGGACTAAGGGAAATAATTAGTTTTCCTATATAGCCCTCACAAACTTTGTTTAGCAGGAATATAATAATGCTTACTGGTGCTACTTAAATACTGTCCTACCATGGTCCATGGCTTTTGAGGGCAGTATACTGGAAACCCTACCATGGCTTTTGAGGGCAGTATACTGGAAACATCATTCTGACTTTGACACAAGTAAACCTGTGATCAAGCTGTGACCCACCTGAAATGAAAAAGAATAGCATTTCATCTTACATTACAGTATCTTACACAGAGGTATGATATTCTAGGATTTGAAAAACAGGGGGGGGGGGGGGGGTTTATCTAAAAGTGAGAATTTTTTTACATCTGTTGATTTTTTTCCTTCTTTCTTTATGTAAAATTTCCCCCCTGCCTCTTTAAACTAGGGGGGAATTCACAAAAATAGGAGTGAATCCCCCATCTTAGAATACACACTGCTTACTACAACAAATGTACATGTGCTTTTAATTTGGGGAATGAACATTTTTAGTTAAACAAGAACTGTGTCCAAAGGGCACAGATGCCCCCACTGACAACATATATGTGGTATATAGTGAATATATCAACAAAGGGCCATAATTCTGTTAAATTGGTCGCAGCAAAAAAAATTCCTTCCTTAAGTACTATCTACACATTAAGGTTGTTCATCTTTGGAAGTTAAAAGCAAAATCTGCCATCCGGTTTAAGAGGAGTTGCGTTCACAAAATTTCTATATGGTATATAGTGAAAAATCATCAAAGGGCCATAAATCTGTTAAATTTGGTCGAAGCAAAAATTCCTTCCTTTACTACCATCTACACATTAAGGTTGTTCATCCCTAGAAGTTAAAGCAAAATCTGCCATCCGGTTTAAGAAAAGTTGCATTCACAAAATTTCTATATGGTATAGTGAAAAAATTAACAAAGGGCCATAAATCTGTTCAATTTGGTTGCAGCAAAATTTTCCTTTACTACCATCTACACATTAAGGTTGTTCATCCCTGGAAGTTTATGCAAAATCTGCCATACGGTTTAAGAGGAGTTGTGTTCACAAAATTTCTACATGGCATTTAGTGAAAAAATCAACAAAGGGCCATAATTCTGTTAAATTTTGTCGCAGCAAAAATTCCTTCCTTTACTTTCATCTACACATTAAGGTTGTTCATCCCTGGAAGTTTAAGCAAAATCTAACATCCAGTTTAAGAGGAGTTGCGTTCACAAAATTTCGGGACGTACCGACAGACGTATGTACAGACGGACAAGTGCAACGCTTTATGCTCCCCCTCTGTGGGAGCATAAAAATACAGTAAAATCTGTAAATATATCAAATGCACTTTCAATTTTAAAATTAACTGTATAACAGTTCAACTATCTCCTAATGAATTATATATGAGGAGTTATTTTAACCCATTACTGCACTAAGGTGGCAATGGATGATTTATCCCAAACACATTGCCATTTGAATGAAAAGATCTCCCAGCTTTGCTGTGATACAATTAAAAAACAATGTTTTACTTTTAGTTTAGGCTTCAGGGCCAAAACTTTAAACCCCTTGTAGAGGCCGAATATCATAAGGCTGCTTCCCCAACCAAAATAGCCTCTTTTTTTCCCAAGTTTGAACCTCAAAATTCCCCAGTCTTTTGAAATTTCCCATAGAATTTAGAACAAAATTAAATGATGATGTTGAATAAAGGTCTTTTACTGCCTTATTACTTTTTCCCAGTTCTATTTGCTTTTCTATTTTGAAGAACTTGTTAAAAGTTTGTGTTAAATTTGAGACCCATTTTCCCAAAGTATGCCAAAATCACACATATTTTCCCCAAGAAAAGGGTGAGGCCCCTTCCCCAAAAATGGTGATTTGGCCCCGGGCTTGTATTTCCTACTATCTAATTACTTGTTGTTAAAACTAATCATAAGAATACTGATAGCAGTAATCACTGTCAGTACAGTAATTTTTTAATGCAAATTTGGGGCTGATGTTTGCACAGACATTTGGGGTGTGGAGCTTAAAACACCTTTAAAATCCAAAGAAAATGTATATTTGTCAATCCCAGCACATGTATTGATCATTTCCTTACCTGAAGATGTAAATATTTGTTTCTTGTATTGAACAACTCCCCCCCCCCCCCCAAAAAAAAATAAAAAATTACTGAAGAAGGAAAAGGCATGGTTATCAATACACATGGTCTCTTCAGCATGGAGAGCTTATATAATAGCAGGGGTGTTTCAGCTATGCCTAGAAAAAGGCTTTTTACCCCTACTTTATATCAAGTTTTCTTCCTCTATTATTAAAACAGTATTGCAAATAAACTGTGTTAGTTTCCCCAAATATTATGGGAAGAAACCCTTCCCATACCTGTGGAAAAAACTCTAGCATGTGCTGGCATTGCAAATTCTAACTCTTTAACTAGATCTAATTAACTAAATCTAAGTAAATAATTAACAAGTCAACAACTAACATTTTTGATGAAATGAAAACAAATCCTCCTATTATTAAGTCCATGACATAATGTGTAATGTCCAAATTTATTGTTTGTAAAATGCACTCAATGATCATTTTTATTACTCCCAAGTGGAAGTAAAAGTTTCCTTTGAAGTTTGACAGCTCAACATCAAAGGCACTCACCGCATGTTGATGTAGAAATCTTCCAGTTCAGACAGATTATCTGATTGGCTTATGTCGTAAGACCTGTCAAATTTTTAGTGACGAAATATACATCAGTTCACCTCTTAGTTATCGGTAATTTTCCAAGCTGATTGTGTCAATGTCAATGACCTAAATTGACTGCAGAGTGTGAGACCAAAATATTTGTAACTTTCTAGCGGAAATTTTTGGATTAAAGGTAGAAGATCTAGATCTAAATAATTTTAAATATAGACACATTGTAACTTTCAGCGGAAAGTTTTAGAATAATGAACTAGATCTACACTGTTTGCATTGATTTTACTCTGTTCATTTAAATCAAAAGTCGTAAAGAAATAGATCAGACTTACCTCAGATAATCGTTATTTTCCCGGCAAATACTAGTACACATAATCTCCCGCATAACAATTTTTCAAATAAATTGTTGATAAAATGAAAAAAAAAATGTCAAAATTTATAGATCTAGATCTGTGACTTCCCAAATTTATGATGAAGGCCTTTTGCACTGCGTTTAAGTTCACGCGCTATGACGATTTGTGTTGTGACGTCATTTTGACACGTCTGCTGTAAACAGTTCAGTGGGCTATACATGTACAGTAGTGCTTGTTTATTTGTATGGAAAATACGATGCGTTTAAGAATAATTACAAAATAATTCATTCATGATTCAATGATTATTAAATTTTTTTATTTCTTAAAGGTTCTACTTGCATAATAAAAATAAATAGAATATTTTTTTTTTAATCAAAGGTTGGCACACAAATCTAATTTTTATAAATCCACAATTTTTAAAAACAGATTTAAAACTTTTAACAATAATTATATTAAACTTTCAACAATTACAACAACATCACCTTAACCCCTTAGTTGATTGCACCACATCAACTAACCCCAAAGATCACATACAGGGTTAGTTGATGCGCCGCATCAACTAACCCTTAGATCAGATTCAGGGTTAGTTGATGCGCCGCATCAACTAACCCCCCTTAGTTCAACTAACCCTCATTTTCTGATGTTTGGCATCAACTAACCCCCCTTAGTTCAACTAAACCCCTGCAGCAGTTATTTAAGTGCATTCCAGGTTTAAAAATTATTCCATCTTCAGATAATACCCTGTTCAGAGCTTTATCAAGTGTGCAAATTATACATAACCGAAAACACAAGCTTTGTTTCCGGTTTTTTATCGTTAAATGTAAACAAACTATTTTTGAGGATTCTATCTTTCTATTATGCTTTTCTCTCGTCGATTCGTGACTCTTATTTGGAAAAATTGCACTTGCACAACAAATATCAGACATACATACAGTTCAATTAGTGCATTTGTTAAATAAATCCATTATCTAAAAGTTCAAAAACTTTAAATTACTTTTAAAAACAACCCCTCAAAGATTAGAGCATCTGAACATGTCAACCATGACTGTCTTGCTCAGCTGGACGCTTACCCATCAATTCGTGAAATCTGATTCACCCTGTGACGTCATCAAAAAATAGGTGCTCACACCACTAAATGTCAGCATGGTTATTTTCAGTCCGATCTGGTCAATTTATGTTTCAAAGTCTTAAGTTGATTCTTACAGCATAATGAATATGTTTTGGCTTAATTGTAAGTGTGTTTGATTAATTTAAATATCAATATTGAATATTTTAAAGTAATTAGGTCATCAGCTGATTGTAGGGTAAGCTCATTTATACCTGTTCGATAACGCATTTTGATTGGACAAAATTGTCAAATCGAATGTCTAATAAAACTATTGTAGTTTTCGGATGGTGTATGTCCTTTCAGATGTATTTATACCGGACAATTATTTAGGTCACAAATCGATGAGAAGGCATGAATCGATGAGAATAAGGCATACATTGGCAACTTTTCGCTCATCCTGCCTGACGAGCATACAACAATTTTGTACTCGTTGTGCAGTTGACTGCCTACTCGTAAATACCTGTGGCCGAATAGAATTTTCGATCCCTGAATAATTAACCTTGAAATACCAAAGTTCATGTGAGCTTTCAGAGTAAATGTTATATTTCCCAACATATTGGGTAGCAATTTATGGTGGTGCAAAACTTGTGTCTTGAAAACTTAAATGAAATGTTCACCTTTGTATCTTTGCCAAAGAGCTTCCAATCTTTTTCTGTCAACAGTAGGACGGGAAGATTCATTGTATTTTTCTGGATTTTGGAAATAGTTGTCCACAGCAACGTCTAATTTCCAGTCATGACAACTTAAACAGTGAATACCTGTCTTTTCTGTTGTTTGGGTGAATGCTATGAACTGTCTGACTTTGTCCCTCTGCGAACTTTTCAATTTGTGCTGATGAAAAATAAAGATAAACAATTTGTTAGTCTTCATTTAAGCAACCATAATAATGTATGAGCAGGGACATGATAAATAAAGTTAAGGTTTTACCATTTTTCTGTTTTCTTCGTTTCTTTTTGCTGGTAATGGCTAATGTTCTAACATAATTATTTTTTAATATTGTTGTCGTCTTCAAAAAGGTGGATGGATGCTCACTTTTCCAGCATGTGAAAATGTCATAGGCCTACACTGCGCTTAATAAGCAAAGTATTCTAAATCTATTAAAACTTGCAAAGTTTAACCTTTATACAAATTGGATATACATGTATAACGTCAGTCAGATGTTTCCGTCTACTGTACAGAACGCTGCCTTAGAAAGTGAGCGATAGTGAAACATTCGACCGATGCGCAGGAGAAGAGTTTCCGTGCAGAATGGATCACTTGCAAAATTCAGATAATATATATTATTACTGGAATATATGTAAATGCTATAACTGTACATTGACCAATTATATATGTAGACATAATGCTCGGCCAAGGCCCATTTATACATGTACAGTACGTATAGCAAAGAAGGAGTATTGAGGAATTTACTATGTAATTTTTAAATAAATGATGTAACTGGGTACCCGAAGCCTGTTATGTATTTTACTTTTAGTCTTACATACTTAATAATTTGTCTTCACGAGAACTGATCCAAGTTAGGATTTTTTTCCATTTTAAAGCTTCCTAGTCTATTATATTTTCTTGAGTAATATATGGGATTCGAATAGCCCACAAATCGGACTCTCTAATAGTATTTTAGCAAACTCTACACTCCACCTTTCTAAGTACATGTTTACATGCATGTACATGTTAGCTCTTATGGTTCCGGAATTTCATTCACCACAAGCATTATCAGGTGATAGTTTATGATCATAAAAAATTACTGTCACTTGTAAAACAATTTGGTAGAGTATATACAGCATGTATATATTTGATACAAGAAATCATTTGAATTTTGAGTATAGGCCTATCGTTGTAACAGAATGTCAGAGATGTAGATGTTATCTATGTCTCTGAAAATATCAAATACTAATAATAGTGTTCTTGATTTTGATAGATTCTTTCAAATATTAAGTTCATAAGTATGATTTAGAACATGTTATCTCCTGTAAATGCAGGTTGGTTTGGTTTAAACATATTTATTTAAGCTCGATTGCGAAACAAGTTCTTGCAATTTAAATTAATCATTTTCGAGTCCGCTTCTTGCAACAAGTACTGGGGTCATATGAAGAAACATATGGTCGTGTCCCGATTGGGGTTATACAACAAACAGATGCACATACATTTAGTATTAAGTTGTAGGAATTCAAGAAATTATAGCCTTCACACATTATGGTTTACTTGTACATTTTATCCTAAATGTACAGTCTGATGAGGCGGAATGTTAATTTATGACCAGGATGTTATTTGCTCCACAACTGCAACATTTTGTCGTTATATGTAAAACATATTAGCCGCGTACTTCCAATAGCAATGTATGCAAAAAAAACTGTTTTCAAAATATCCATACGCTGAAAAAAATCACCTTTGTCAGATACAACAGTTATATAGTTTATATCTTTGGTATCTATACTTCTATAATAAAACACATGTCACTTTTATTTATTACATAATTAATAGACTGAAATGTAACTTTATTTCTGTATCGTGTCAATACGCATAGGCCTGTGATTCACCTGAATTCAGAGAAGTATATATGTATTATAGAGCAGTTTGAAAAAAGCATTGCTTCTGTTAATGGTTTTTAATTGCGTACCAACTGCACCCAGGCTCCATTTAAAATAAGTGAGTGAAAATTTAAAAAGAACAATATCATGGTCCAGAAAAAACTTTCAGTTGCAATTTAAATGTTCGGGTTGGTCTTTTTTCTCATTCTATCAATTATTTACCTACCTAGGTCGATGTGCCCTTCTATCTAGTTCAATTATCTAAAAAGTGTATATTATAATAAATATGTTATTGCAATTCGGTCATGCATTCAATACGGCCCAGAAATAACTTTGAGTGTATATGTATCGGTTGTGAGGTTGGACTCATTTTTTAATTTTATCAATTATTTACATACCTAGGTCAATTTGCCTTACTATCTAGTTCGATGATCTAAAAAGGGTATATTAATAGTATTTAATTGCAATTCGGACATGCATTTCAATATAACTCCAATACAGCCCTGAAATAACCTTGAGTGCATATGTATCGGTTGTGATTTAAATGTCTCGGGTTGGACACATATTTCATTTAATCAATTATTTCATAACCAGGTGCATATGCACCACTATCAATTTCACCGATCTAAAAAGGGTATATTTATAATATTTAATTGCAATTCGGTCATGCATTTAAAAAGAACTCCAATATGGCCCAGAAATAACTTTAAGTGCACAAGTATATCAGTTTTGATTGGGCTGATTTTTATGTAATCAATCATGCACTTATTAATCTGCATGTTTGCATAACAAATTGCATTTGTATTTGAAATTTTAATGATTCTAAGTAATTATTATAATATTTGATTGCAATTCGGTCATGCAACACCGTGTATATCCGTGAGGCAAGAATATGAAAATAACGCAGGAATTGTGTATTCAGTAACGCCAAATCTTTGCAGTATATATGTCCATCACGAGCAACACGTGTCGTAGGGGCTATTATATCTTATAGTAAATCAAATTGAAATAAATGAATTAAGCATAAGGCTGCTAAGACATTCTCATTCAAAAAATTCCAGGAAAATCTTTGCTTTTTAAGACCATTCTTGAGAATGACAACATTGCTACCATATGGATGACTATTTTTTTTGTTTCGTCCATATTTTCAATACAATAACGTATACATATATTATTATTTTTTGATATTCGGTATTATATCCGAGACATTTGCCAAACAACTTGTGTTATATAATTCATAATAAGCAGACAACATATGACAGAGCCACATAATTATAAAGACGTAACGCTGATTTTGTGAATGATGTACCGAGGTAGCGCTTGTAACTTCATAAAAAGTGCCTGAATCACATTTTTTCTGCTTCCTTTGAGTGTAACATAATATTAGTAGATCGTCAAATGTCTTAGATTGCATGTTCTTGCATATCAGAAAAAAGGACTATTGACTGCTTACACCAGTGCTAAAAAATCTTTCTTGCATATAAGACAGGATTATCTACTGGATACCCAACTGTTTACACAGGTGCTAGAAAACCCTGCGTTAGACAAGTCGCGTGCTTAAAATGATGTCGTTCCTGCGCACCATTCATGAATGAATTGGATTTCTTAGAATGAAGGTGTTATGAATAAGATGTAAATCCATACGCTTTTATAAAGAAAAAAATGCTTACTGAGAATATTGGTTTCCGAAATATGATAAATATGGAATCTACAAGAAAAAGGACCAAACACCGGCAGTCGTAACATACCGGAATATGTAGCTCTCATGTAGAAGCCAAATAACTGTTTTTACAGAACTCGCATTTGGAAAAGCCTCGGCTATCATATATAATAACTCCGAAATCTGACGGAAAGGGCCGAGTAGTTGCGTTTAGCAGAACTCGTTACCGCCGTAAGCAAGATATTCCGGTCTATACCGGCAGCCGGTGATAAGGCGTAGTGTAAATACAATGTGCAGTTGTTGGTTTTTAGCAATAATTGGCAGGGAGTCCTCTTCAGAAGCGCATCCAATCGCTCCGACAGCAAGCCTATCCTTTTCCAATACAAGGAATTTGCCTCCATTTATATTCCAAATTAATTTCGGTGCCTTTTTTGTATTGAGTAAAAGAATTACATGTATATGATTAAATTGCGTTTTATATACATGTAAAGGTAAAAGTGTGGGTCATACAAAGCTATAGCTCAGTGAACGTGTACCCTAGCTGAAGCACTAGTTCAAACATGTTCACGTCCACGCAGGGCTAAACCTAAGAAAACACCTGCTGTTGGTTTATGTAGACTTACTCATTGGTCGATTCGTAGAACGAAGCTGGACTTTATTTAGGACGACACCGGACAAGCGTGCGTTCATACAAGGCGGTGTAAGATTTTTCGGAGTGTAGTTGCATATAAACATGTTGACATGGTATATGGTTAATTTTATTCTTCAAGTTACATACTGTGTTATTTCCTTTTCATTTGTTCCCTGTCAGTATTTTCTATATTTACATTTTGCATTTTCTAACATGCATTTCGTTAGCAAGAGTTGTTAATTGACTATAACAGTTAGGGCATGCATTTTGTTAATAATTAAGGTACTTTTACGTCTATGTAAAAATCGGTCAAAGTGGTTATGCATTATGAATGTGTGACAAGGAGAGCCAAATAAATATGCATTATATTGTTATTACCCCTCTGGATATTCCAAAAGCCCTGTTTACTGTCCCTAAAGAAATAAATAATTGCTAAACGTTCTATTAGGCACCAACCAAAATACTATATATACCGGTAAAAAACCTAGGTAGGTAGACTCATCTGAAGATTAAGACAAGGTTTTGCTACTACGACTTTCTTTTTTTCAAAATGAAAATGAAGGTGTGTTTCGTGCTTTTGCTGGCAATAACGCAATTACTTGCAGAACCAGGGCAGTTTAAAGCTCAGGACGACTTCAAGGCAGTACCCAAAGGTAGGAAATTTTCAGCTTTATTCATTTCAGTTCCTAGTTTGTTTAGTGTGAGCTTTATGTTTATGATAATGGCAGAACAGTACTGTTGAACAGGTAATTTAAACTGGTGGACGAAGACCATCAATTCTCTTTAGTTCAGACACGTCTGTTTTCGGTTTGACTTCCTGTACAATTAACAGGGAAGGACTAAATATGTGAAGACTTTTCATTGGTCATTTTTAAATTACAAACTGTTGAATTTTCTACCCGGTTTTAGCTAAAAACCAACCGTACTCGTTTAAACGGATAAGCGTGACACTTCTAGTTCTAACCATTCTAAAATAAAATTTTAAGGATAGCTCTATGATAAAATGTAATGGATAGTTTTGTCACTATAAAATAAAATGTAAAGAATAGTTCTAAAATAAAATTTGCAGGAATTAAGATAGTGCTTTTAGGTTAATTTATAAATGATTACAAAATTTATAAAGTCAAACGGAAAACAAGTAAAAAAAATCATCTTAAATAGAAGTTGTTCTTCTTTGAAAAATCACCAATATCAATATAATTTAATTTGAATATTTATAAAATGGGTAGTTTCTTAATAGCTTCAAGAAATAATAAAAATAATAAAAAATCATGTCATTGTTTTGCAAGCATTGCTAACAGAACTTTATATTATCTTTATGTTTTACTATTACCACGGTACATGTTCCTCCTTGTTAATTTGTGTCATAATCAGTAGAGATAATACAAAAGCAAAACTTTGATTGATAATGTCTGGCAGAGCCAGACGTCTTTATTGTCTAAGAATATACTTCTTTTTGTACTGAAAACTTAAAAATAACATACTTTTGCATGTTTAAGAGTTATACTTCGGTCGCGTGTCTTGATAACAGTTAGTTTGTGATATATTGTTTTTATCATTGAGTGATTTGTGGTACGGAATATCATATAAGAATTAGACCAATAACTATTTTCTCTTTCTGTTCAGTCTATCTTACTTTCAAATATACTTATACCAACACAAACTTAAAATGTATAAAGCTATATATCTACTTCAAAAATCATAATTTAAATTTTAAAAAAGAATACTTCCAAAATGCTTGTATGAATAAACACGGTAGATAATTGTCTTACAAGCGAATGGCGCATGCACAAAATCATTGCTAAACGGATAAAACCCTACTTAAAACAGCAAATAATATTTTGTTCCGAAACATTTTATTCTGTTTACATACAATATTCATGTGTATTAAATAACAGAGACATTTTCTATGTTACAACTTTTTCGGAAATAAACCATATAATATTGAACCAATATAATTTTACTATTGATAAATTTTATGAAAATATTTCATATATATATAGATTTATACCCTTTAAATAACGTCTCTAATTTATTTAATGGATGGGTCAATGGTAGATATTTCAATATTTCAAATGTAAATAAAAACAAAAGAAATATATATTGTCTGATATATATTTCTTGAAGAAAATGTTGATAATTTATTCTCAATTTAGTTATGTAGATGTGTAACATCGTATCATGCACCCATTAACAAAACAATTTTTTGTATTAACTTGCACTCGTTGTTTGCTATCACTAATGATGATAATAACACTACATGTATATATAATTATTTATTGTACTACAGACCTTCCATTTAGGACCAATTTACTTTTATCATGATCATTTTGAACATGTTTATCACTTCTGATGCATTGCTCAAGTAAGGTTTTCTGCTTTCTAATACTAACATTTCTAATTTGAAGATACGGCGGATGGGGGCAATGCAGGACTGGGCAATGACAACAGTGACGGCTTCAAAGAACCATTTAAACAGGAATTCAAGTTCAAACAAGAAAGAAAGTAGTGCCTCTTATGAAAACGGAAAGATAATTTGAATATATGGGAAAGATGAACTTGTAAAACTTTTAAAGTTTCCTTCTCCTTATTTGTGCTTTTGTATATTGTTTATCTATTGCTTTACTTATTATGTAACAAAACAGATACAGCTTCAAAAACAACAAACAAACAACAGACGGAGCAACCAAATAAAAGAAAACAGAAGTTGTAGGATAACCAGACAAAAATAAGAAAAAAATCACAAAACAATTTCTTTGAATGCATATGCATATTATGTTATTGGAACGATATACTTTTCAAATGATTTACCCGCTTTCTTCATGCTTGTTCTTAGTGATATATTCTCTTAGCAATAAAGTTGCTTACTCTACACTTCAGTGTATTTTTCATAAATTTCTAGTCACAAATGTAATTAGAAATGGGAGACACTCTGAACCAAATCAACATATTTATCAGCTGCACTACATCGGTAGACCCAATGGTAAAGCAGATATTAACTATTTTGTGATAGCCGAGCAATCGCATCTTGTTGGCCCTTTCCTTCAAACTTCGGAAAAAGATAACCCAGGAGTTCCGACTGATAGGCAAATATAAGTTATACCCAATTTTCACAACCCGAGTTATGTTTTAAAATAAATAAACATGTACGTATTCGACGAATAATTTGCCATTATCTTGCATATGGTTATGAAATTGTTTGTGGTTTGCACTATTTTGCTGAATCGGTTGTTTTTAAACTGTTTTCTGAAAACCTTAATGAACTTGTTAATATAACAATACAACAGTTTCCATACATAAAATAAAATAACCGAACGCACAGACAATGAAAATTTTAAATAGATATAAACAAAATAAATTTTAAAGAATATAAAAAAGAGAAATCAACTCAAATGAAAATGGAAAAAAGTGAAACAAACACAATGCATTTTGTGTCGAAATAGTATGTTTTATTCAAGAAAAAGACGACTCAAAGAGAAGAAAATCTCCTAAAAAGTGAAAAATATCATAACATGTATATTATTTCCTGATCAAAGAAAGCAGTTCTGAATGTTTTGGTCCAGACGAAAATCTTGTTCTGTAACAAAGGTTCGCAAAGAACAGACAATTAAAAATAGAAGTCTATTAACTGTAAATGATAAAAAATAAGACGCTTCGGCCTCATGTTTTTATATCAAAACAACGTTTATATGTTAGGATATAATTTCAATAAATCGTATTTTTGTTTTTTTATGCCTATAGATCACGTCTGAAGTGTTCAAGTGGATAGCTAAACTGGTGGCCGAATACCATAAATACTCTTTAACCGAGCAATAGTAGGACCTCTATTTCACCCCTCCCCCCTGCATTAACGTCGCGGTAAAGGCACACGGCAGGTCAATGTCAAGGCGTTTAAATTACCAGAGACGACTGGTTGTTCTGTCGTGAATATCTCGGAAGGGTGACACTAACAAGACCCGTTTTAAGACTGATGCCTGTTCGCTGCCGTCACGGAACATGACAGTATTGTCTTTCCTCCACCAATGAACGAGAACAGGTTAAGGAAGATCGGCATGAAAAAAACTATCCCCGATCAGACTTCTAGAGTGGACCGGCATGGCCGCTGAGATCTCGGACATATGGAATGTCCAGCTTAAAAAAACTACAACCACACATTAGTCGGACATCTCTTCAGACTCATTCCTCTTAATGCAGTTAAATTATCGTTTTACTAGCCTAGCTATAGTATGTTGATGTAAGTCAATTGAAAATATGAAGGTGATAAGAATCTAATATGCCTCGAATCACCCATTTTTAAAATACTACAAAACATATATTTACTCCTTAAGCAGAGAAAAATCTCTAAGGCATATTTTGCCTGTAACAATGTAATAAAAATGTACTTCTATTAATTCTAATGAAAAACGAAGGTGCATATTTTAGTTTTCTCAGACTAATTCATACATGAATGTTTAAAAGGTTGATAACTTAAAATAACATTATGTACATTTTCCGTGATAAACTTGAGCTAAATTTGATATACATATGTATATACATGTATATTTAACTTAACAAAACTGTCTATTGTAAATGGGGATTGCCCAATCATTGATGATGACAAATGTTTTGAGTAAAGTTTTTTTTTAAAAAAAACTTTGTGACATATAAAAGACTGCAGTCTAAAGGACATTTCCGCGAGGTACGTTGGATATTCATTTTTGTTAGTGGAATATAGAATTCAAAACAATTACGGCAAAATGTAAAAAAGTTATCTTGACATTTATGTTTGGTTTTAACATATATACTTAACAAGTCCTTGCAACTTATATTAATCACTTTCGAGTCCACTTCCTGGAACCAACTAGTACTGGTACATATGTAGAATCATGGTTATGAACAGATTAGGGCTCGAACCAATGATCAATGGGTTGAGAAGCAGACACCCTTACCAATAGGCCACCGCTCCCCTTTATGGAATAACTGCACCCGGTATGAGAAAGATATTTTAGAAAAAAATGTATAAGGAAGCCGCGAGAATTGCAAGTGTTTTAATAAGATTAATGTCCATTTAAAAATTATTAAAGAAATAGAATTGGAATCTTTGGCAGACAAAAGACAAGAACAATTCAAAATTTAGTTTCGAATACAAAACAAATATAATGTTTTGCCACAGATATGTTCCCCTTTAGTAGAAAAATGTAATTGATTATCATAGTAGTTTAAGAAATAACATCAAAGTTCTGTGTTACTGTGGCAAGGGGAACCGAACTATGTTCCGTCATCAATACAGTTTTTGAATGAATTACCTATAGATATCAGAGAATCAGACACTTAAGGAAATTTTAAAAGAAAACTCAAAGAAATCTATAAACTTCCCATTGGTACGTCTTTCTTTATATAAAGGATGAGGGGGATAGGCAGTATGGCTTTCTAAATTTCGACAAAAATATTAAGTTTTTTTTCTATAATTATTTTTTTTTTTGGCGAATGATTCAAAGCATGTTTGGTCAGTTTTAAGTTGACTGGTTTGCAACGTATTACAATGTAATATTGCCGGAATTCTTCTCTAGGTTCTGGAACCCGTCCTGTACTGGTGTAGATGCTTTCACAGAATATTGGGATAATAAGTTTGGTTTATTTGTGTCCCCGATTGTTATTATTCACAGAGTAATTAACAAAGTGGCTGTAAATAAAGCTCGAGTGGTCTTAGTTACCCCTTGCTATAAATCTGCTATTTTTTGGCCTTGCCTTTGCCCAAATGGTCATTTTAGGCACGACAGTACTGATTGGTTAGGTTTGTCAACAGAAAAGGACATTTTTGGCAATGCTTCATACGATTTTACACAAGGGAACTAATTAGTACTGATAACAAGAAGTAATGATAAGGAGAGTATTATCCCTTTAGCAGTATTGCTGCCGTATGGCTATTGTAGTTTGCATTGCCAGACTTGCTCATAGCACTAACTGAAGTATCTCACATAAGACGGTATCGTCTTCAGATGTTGTTTAGAATGTAAATGTGTTTATTAGTTGCGCTATATTGTGTATTTTGTATACATTTGTTTTTTCCAGATTCATGCATGATGCTATTGAAGAATTACAAGACATTTTGGCAAAGAAAGTGCACCTACTCCCAGACCTGTTCCGAAGTCACGCGCATATGTAATACAAAAAGCTAAGTAGTGCGTTTTTGCGTTTTCATAAATGGGCTATGAGCAGTGGGCTGGGTAGTAGGGACACTTTACCTGCTAAAACTCTTTATATTTGGCATGTTTATTTCAAACGACTAAAACTCCCAGTCATGTTATTGCTGCCTTCTATGCAATAAAATGGTATCATGAGCAGTCTGATTTAAGATCACCAACAAGGGCCTTTAGATATTGGCATATTAATCAGTGCTTTCAACAGATTGTAGGTAGATAATAATATTAAAAGTTAGCGCATTACTTGTGCTTTATAGTCGCTTTTTCTAGTATGAGTTAGAACATGTTCTCTCCTGTAAATGCAGGTTGGTTTGGTTTGAACATATTTATTTAAGCTCGATTCAAAAACAAGTTCTTGCAACTTATATTAACCATTTTCTAGTCCGATTCCAGGAACCAACCAATACTGGTGTCATATGAAGAAACATGGTCGTGTTCCGGTTGGGGATCGAAAACATGATCTCTGGGATGAGAGACAGACACTTTAACCACTAGGCCACGCTCCCCTTATTGTTGAGTAATTGCTATACAACAAACAGATGCACATACATTTAGTATTGAGTTGTACGAATCTAGCCTTCACACATTTTGATTTACTTATACATCTTATCCTACATGTACAGTCTGATGAGGTCACAAGAAACACCCGGAATGTTAATCAATGACCAGGATATGTTATTCGCTCCACAACTGCAACATTTTGTCGTTATATGTATAACATATTAGCCGCAGACGTCCGATAGCAATGGATGCAAAAAATCCCCGTTTTTAAAATATCCGTACGATATAATAGTTATATAGTTTATATCTTAAGTATCTATGCTTCTATAATAAAACACGTGTCACTTTTATTTATTTCATAATTAATAGACTGAAATGTAAATTTATTTCTGTATCATTTCAATATGCATAGGCCTGTGCTTCACCTGAATTCAGAGAAATATATATGCATTATAGAGCAGTTCGAAAAATGCATTGCTTTTGTTAATGGTTTTTAATTGCGTACCAACTGCACCCAGGCTCCATTTAAAATAAGTGAGTGAAAATTTAAAAAGAACAATATCATGGTAAAAAAAAACACATTCAGTTGCGATTTATATGTTCGGGTTGGTCTCTTTTTTCATTCTATCAATTATTTACCTACCTAGGTCGGTGTGCCCTATTATCTAGTTCAATTATGTAAAAAGTGTATATTATTATTAATATGTTACTGCAATTCGGTCATGCATTTAATACGGCACAGAAATAACATTGAGTGTATATGTATCGGTTGTGATTTAAATGTCTCGGGTTGGAATCATTTTTTAATTATATCAATTATTTACATACCTAGGTCAATATGACCAACTATCTAGTTCAATGATCTAAAAAGGGTATATTAATAATATTTAATTGCAATTCGGCCATGCATTTAAATATAACTAAAATACAGCCCAGAAATAAGTGTAGTATCGGTTGTGATTTAAATGTCTCGGGTTGGACACATTTTTCATTTAATCAATTATTTCATAACCAGGTGCATATGCACCACTATCAATTTCACCGATCTAAAATGGTATATTTATAATATTTAATTGCAAATCGGTCATGCATTTAAAAAGAACTCCAATATGGCCCAGAA